CCCTGAGACCCAGTAGCCTGTTGAGCTGCCTCATTGAGGCCACGATATGGCAGGGCTTTGACAGAGCGTACAGTCATTTTTTGGCCTTATTTCCACATTCTGCATGATTTCTTACCATTGATGAACACTGAACAGATACCAGCTTATTGGGGCTGTCTCTGTACAGGGTGGCTTCTGAGAACCCTTTAGAAGGCCAGGTCCACTAAGGAAATGGAATTTATCCTTTCTTCTTAGTGGTACCAGTAAGATTCAGCTTTTGTTCTAGAACAGCCTTTGAGTAGCACCATGGGGACTGCATGGGTCCAATAAACTCTTGGCATGTCTACTGCAGATGACCTAGCCCCTTCCTAGCTCTCACTTTTTTGTTGACAAATTTCTGGGTGTTGCAAAGATGGGCCCAGCCCTGGACAGTGTGGCTCAGTTGGTAAGAGCATCACCCTGTGGCCGAACGGTTGTCGGATCGATTCCCGGTCAGGGTACATCTGGGTTGTGGGTTTGATCTCTGGCCCTGGCATGAATGATCCCTGGTTGGGATGCATACAGAAGGCAGCCAATTGATGCTGCTCTCTTGCATCAATGTTTCTCTCTCCCCCTTCCTCTTTTTCTAAAAGCAATGAGAAAATGTCCTTGGGTGAGGATTAAAAATAGATATATTTATATATAAAAAGATGAGCCCATATACTACTAGAAAATGTAATTAAAAGAGAAGGACAGGCACCAGCAAGCTGTTGGCTCTAATCTGAAAGAAGTGACTTTACGTAAAAGGTCAATTCCTTGAGACTCTATTCCTTGCAGTTTGCATTTCTTTTTGGTAAGATAGGGAATGGCTGCCTTCATACTTTCTTGGACATGCAGGAGGCTGGCCACTTTAGAGGCTTCCCCTAACGCCAACCATCCCTGTGCCCATGGGCGCATTTAACACTGGCATTTCCTAATTGCCCCATAGAAGCTTCTTGCTTGTTTACCGCAGAGCTAAAGGAAGAGGTAGGGAGTGAACTCCCCTGGAGCAACACCTGAAGCTGATCTGATTCCTGCGCCTTTTGCAAGGTTCCCCTCGGGCTCTGGGCTGTGGAAGGAGTGATTTCTTTCCACAGTGCACACAGCGCCCATTGTCTTGCACCCTGGCCTAGACCTTAGGAGAAAGAAACAACCTAGGCAGCACTGAAATGCTCTCTCCCTCCTGGTCAACATGGGCCATCTGTCTCAGAAACACGAGGACAAGTAGAGCCAGCCCTCACCCTCCTGTTCTTATGGCAACAGTTAAAAGCACGACTCCAAAGGTTCAGGATTTTTAAAGCGTTTTAAATGTTTCACCCACTCTGTCTCACATCAACCTAGAAGTCCCATGCTGCGTATCTGATAAGTGAGCCTGTGTTTGACATTTAATGCAATATTTATGCACAGAGAATGTGAAACAACACAAAGCAGCCCACATGAATTAGGTTACATACACATACTCCTAGTTTGACCCATCGGAAGGGGGAGAAGAGGATATGACTGGTTCAGGCGATACTATTCTCAAACCCCATGTTCTTGCTTCCAGGTACACAGGGAACCTGAACTCATGATAAAGCCAAGCTGTGCTGGTTTGAGGAGATGAATAAATAAGAAATGCTTGCAAAACCACACCAGATGAAAATATTTTAGAATTGAATGGTGGTGATGGTGGCACAATTTTGTGAAGAAATCGAAGGTGGAGATGTATACGTTAAAAGGGGTAATTGTATGGTATGTGAATGATACCTCTATCTTTTTTTAATAACAGCATACTTACAACTAGGACTCCCCATGGGGGTTGGGGCCCTTCTCGACTATGAGCACCTGCTCTAACAAAACACTCCTCTGCTCTCAGGGCCAGAAAAACGTGTCAGCTCTCCCAGGGTCAATATGGGCCATCTGTCTCATGGGGCCCTAGAGTCAACCCTGGCTCTGCCAAGTTGCAGCTGTGTGTCCTTAGGCACATAACCCTCTTCTACCTACCTCATAGCCCGGAGAAGCCTTAGGACGGTCTCACGCACAGCAGGAACTCAGGATGTGCAGGCTGTCAAGGTCTACTCCTGGAGAAGCTTAGACCACGGTGAGTAGAAGCCACTGCTTCTCACCTCCTGAGGTCACAGCACATCCTGGGGAGAGGGGGCATCACTTTAGAATCTTTAAAGGCTGGTACCAAGCCTTGTATCTAAAATCTTCCCTGACTTAAACCTTGAACCATAATTTGTACCCACACCTTGGATCGCACTCCTGTGTTTATCATTTCCTCACTGACTGCTGAGCCCTTACCCCACCCCACCAGAGATGCTACACTCACTCCCTCGGGAGACCATAAACCCCGTGTTCTCTTTTTACAAGAACGAACGTTCCAACCCTGCCCCATCATGCTTAAATTCTTACAACTCTTGGATATGGCGCCGATCTCTATTTCCATTCCAAATTCTATTTCTTTATCAGACTGCACTGTTTTTGTTTTGGAAGTTTAATCATGCCTTTTACTATTTGATGGGGGAAATTCTCCCCTTTTAAAACTCCCTTTTGCCCTGGCAGGTTGGCTCAGTTGGTTGCAGCATCATCCCGTACAGCAAAAGGTTGCGAGTTCAATTGCTGGTCAGGGCACGTACCTACGTTGCGGGTTTGATCCCTGGTTGGGCTGTGTATGGGAGGCAACAGTAGACGTTTCTCACATCAGTGTTTCTCTCTCTCTCTCTCTGTCTCTTTCAAATCAATAAACATATCCTCATGTGAGGATTAAAAAAACCTTCCCTTTTAAAAATTTTTAAGTCTCTTAGCTGTGTTTCTTTTTAAAAATTTTTTTACAAGAGAACAAATCCATTTTCTTTATTTACTTTTCAATAAGTTTAAATCCTTGAGGGGTACAGCATTACACAGATTCTGTGTCCAAAGGCTTTAGCAAGAAGGTTGCTTAGGCCCTGGCTGGTGTAGCTCAGTGGATTGAGCGCGGGCTGCGAACCAAAGCTTCACAGGTTTGATTCCCAGCCAGGGCACATGCCTGGGTTGCAGGCCATGGCCCCCAGCAACCACACATTGATGTTTCTCTCTCTCTCTTTCTCCCTCCCTTCCCTCTCTAAAAAAAAAAATAAATAAATCTTAAAAAAAAAAAGAAGGTTGCTTCGGAATTTAGCACAAGCCATGCCAGTGTTTCCATGAGCACAAGTTACCTTTCCCCCCAGACTGCTGTGGTTTTGTTCGGTGTGCCACTGGGAATCACTGTGTTCTTCTTTGCTTTGAACACATAAGTGCATCTCTTGCCCAGACAGAATTCAGTTTCATCTTGAGCATAAACACCTTCAATTTTAAGAAGAGCTGTGTGCTCCCTCTGGTTCTGAAGACCCTGCTTAGAGCCGAACAAAATGGCCTCGGACCACCGCCTTCCAGATACATTTGTCCTGAGAAAAGTCCTATTCCCAGCAGTCTCCCCAGGCTCCAAGATGCCGGAAAGAGTGTTTATTTTCTTATATGAGCTACAAAATTATAATCCCAAGTTGTCAAAAAGAAATCCCATTGACTAGACCTTCATTTAGTTCACAAAGACTGTACAAAGGTGAGGGCCACCTACTATTAGTCTTCGCAAAGCATAGGTTTTCCCATTTGGGGACATGGCTTGTGTTTCCATTTACATCTGTGCTAATGACTGCAGTCAAGTTTTAGACATAGCTTGTTATTTCCAGAAATCACATGGGTTTCATTGGGATCTACTTGTTTGCTATTAATCTATAAGAAAACTGTTAACTTTTCTTTATTTAGTAGGTGACTCCCCAGTGAAATAGTTCTAAGAGTTTTTCAGTTGTTTCTCCTGGCTTCCCTCAAAAGAGCCAATCTATAAAGGCTTCTTTTTTCTAATGCTTCTGACAGTTCTCACTCCATTTTATTGCATAATTATGCTTTCTGAAGGATGCTGAAGAGTGGGGATAGAGGTGACCCTGTATTGTGCCCCAAAGCAGTGGGTATACCTCTAGAAACAAATTAGTTCTTTCCATTTGCTTTCTAAATTTAGTTTACCAAAGCCTTTGCTAACAGGAAACCTGTACATACTAAGAAAAATTTAAAATGTTCACAAAATTGCAATTGCTCTTAGGAATGACTGGCCTCTACTGTGACCCTCTGGCCAGGGCTCAGGATGACAGAAGCTACTTGCAATGCTATTGTCAAAGGCCAGCATATGGAAAAGAGCTTGTCCACTTTTGTGCCCTTGCCAAAGCCCTTGTCGGCAGAGGTAGGGAGGGCTGCGCTGACTGAGCCCCAGCTTTGCAGACTGCCACCCGGACGTCACCGTGAGCCTTGCAATATCTCCATGCTACTAGCCCTGCGTCCCCCACTCCTGGTCCTGGTTGGTGCTATCTCCCAGGCTGCAGGCAAGCCATGGATTAGTTATAAACAAGCTGCTCTGGGATTTAGCTTACTGGAAAATAAGGGTCATCATTCCATTATCATTTCGTTTAAATGTCAGATTGCTATGGGGAACATTTTCATAGGTCACACTAATGTTAACTAGCTAGAAATCCCTACCATCCGTGGTCTGAAAGTACAGCAACTTTACTATACTTGGAAGTTCACCATGTCCTAGGGCAGCTCATCTCTTAAGCTTATTTCCACAGTCGGCTTTACTTGCAATGGACAACCGAAGAATTTTAATGAGTTCAACAGGGAAAGGACAGCCACGCAAGATTTTGGGGTTTGTTTTCCACAGGGGTTTGAAAGTTTCTGGTTTGGTTTCAGCAGATTTCTCCACTGAGCCTACAGAAACAAACAAAACACTAGCACGCCATCGAACTCTTCAGTGACGATGTATTTCATGGTAAAGACAACGCGCACATCATGCAGATGAGGCATCACCACATCACAATGGTGCTGTGAGGTACAACAGATCACAACGAAGCAGACCTTTTGCAAAATAAAGCTGCAAGAAGATGGCGAGGCATTTCTTGAAAGCCAGACCATGCTGATTTTCTATGTGCTTATCGTAAAAGGGATCTTCCCTGGCAGTCATCGAGATCAACGGCACTGTATTCCTGGAGGCATATATTTTATTTAGTATATATACATACACAAACATACATAGTTTCCATAATTAATAAAGCCTTAAACTATAGCTGCTTTTGAAAGCATGTAAACAAGATTACTATTGACACTACACTTCCTGGTTGCAAGCCTCAGTCAGAATTATGGATCTTTCCAAACTCTTATTGTACAAGTCAAACAAGAGTTTCAAAGAAGGAAAGGTAATTTTAAATCAGAAAATCACATTTCACCACAAGAAATGAAATAAAAAACAGCACATTATATGGCATAAAATGCAAGGAGTACACATTCTAGTGACATCTGTTTTCCGTTCAGATGTTTTATGTTCAAGTTCATTGCAGTGACACAGTGAGTCCCGTTCAGGGTCCCCTGATTTCAGAGCACTGGCGTTTTCATTTGTGCCTGTTTTTATTAGAGTTGCGCAAACACAGGAGCAAACAAACAAAAGCCTCAATATTAACAACATGAAAATCAACAACCAGTGCATGAGACATACGATTCATTCAGTCCAAAAGCCACTTGATGGTTTGGAGTGACTAGAGCTCGGAGAGTTTAAGGTGCGATATGCAAATATCCTTTCTAGATTCAGCCATTCGTGTCTGTAGGGATATGCATAAGAAAACAGAAATCATTCCATACTGTTTAATGGCTTCGTTACTCAACCAGACTTATTCAGTTAGCTCCCCAAGGAGTAATGTGGCACAGCGCATTTTTGCAGGTGACTAAGCTTAATAATAAAAGAACACTTTCTTGATAGTAACTTCCAACAAAGAAACCACAGAGAGGGGGGAAAACCCTCTGGAATTTCTCCTCCCAAACACAGACAGGGAGATATGCGGCCCAAGTTCGGTGTACATTTAAGTAGAGTCTGGGTAAATGTCTAGAATATTTACAGGGAACGACATCTAAATGTTTATGTGCTCCAACTTTGGGAATACGAATGGTTACAAGGTGAACTTCCCAGCTGGAACGACTGGGTCGCGGGTGATCACTATAACGGAGTAAGTAGTATAGGAAGCACTTCATCAGCAGCTGAAGCTCCTACATAGAACCATGGCATGGAACATCACTAAAACCTCGCAAGGTTTCTACCAAGAGTGGCCAGTGTTTGACAGACTTAACTAGGAATACAGTTACAATTCCATCTAGGAATTTGGAATCCAGTGCTTAAGGACGACAGAAGTTTCTTCCGAGGGCCAGCAGCTCAAATTTGACTACCAGCAGCTTCATGGCTTCTCGAAACACCACCTGTGTCAATTCACAAACAAACCCTGGTGAGACCAACGAAGACACTGAGTGGCAATTTGTAGCATCTACTCCCTTACGCTAAAATGCTCGCACACTATGAAACTTTTGGCCTGCTTGGTGATTTCATTTTCTTTGGCTCACACACTCTCTCAACAGAAGTGCTACAGCATTTTGTGTAAGACTGTTCTTTCGGGGGGGTGGGGGGCGGGCAAGTTTTCTTTGTGTGCACTGTCCTAAAGCTTGCAGGATGTTTAAAGTCCCAAGCTTTGCTTCACAAAGGCCAGTGCTGCCACCGAGCCACTGCAATAATAAAAACCCTCAACACATTTCCAAACACCCTCCCCCCACCCTCTGCAGGGTGGTACCACTTCTGGTTGAGAAGAATTTGAGAACTGGAGTATGAGACAAATGAAAATATACAAGCAGTATGAACGCAATTATTTAGCCAAGATATTTTTTTTGCCCTTTAGGACAGGGATTTTGCACTTTTAGAGATGTAGGAAATAGATTCAAGAAGCCTAAGGTTTGTGGATTTTTTGGTCCTTGCTGGATAGGGAGGTCAGTGAACTGAAGGGTTCCAGGTATGCCAGTAACAAAAGAGAGCTTTTACTAAGCCTTGAGCTGTATGTATGAATGCTCAGTAGAATGCTCAGGTGAATGGCTTCTGTTTTTGAAGTGTCCAAGAAGGCAGCGGCTCTTCCAAACCACAGGTACTCGAAAATGAGCTGCCACGCATGCCCGTGTGTGTGTGAAAGGAGCTTTCCCGAGAGCCAAGAGACAAGAACACTGAAATGCGCTGTCTATAGCCGACAGCTGCGGTCAGGCAGAAGTGTCTCTGGAACACTGCGACCTCGGCCATGCAGCCTCCCCAACCAGCCTCCTCGTTTGAGAAAGACACAGGTGGGACTAAATCATGTCAGGCAGCGAAGTTCTGCTATAGGAGTGGAGCGGCAGCAAAAAACACAGTGGGCTGAGAGAAGGCTGAGACTATAAAAATGTCTAAAAAGAGGGTAAAGTGGCAGGAAATTGGCATTATGAAGTTACAAAAAGTTGATGCTAAATTCTAATTGCGTTTTCATCACTGAAAAACAAATAAGCCCCGGACTGAAGTCCATCTAGTGTGAGGTGTATATAACCGAATCCACACAAATGCAGACTGTTTAGAACCCATAGATATAACTTCCTCCAATGAAAAGAGCCTTTGGAAGGACTCTGGCAAGAAAAAAATCATGGGGAAGAAAAGCTTCAGGGCACAAACTTCAGCTGCCTCCATGCCCCACTCCCTCAGGTATGTTTCTTCCACGAACAAATGTTTGCTTTGGAAGACTCCAGAATGGGTCAATAGAACAGGAAATCATTTGGCTCAACACTCATGGAACGCATACAAATGATTCTGGATAGAATGTGCAATGTTGCTGGGTGAAGACTAGGGGAGAAGTTCATTTCATGAACACCACCCCGCACCACTATAGCATTCTGTCTTTGCTTCTAGGGAAGCTACTAGTCTAGACAGGGGGTGGGTCCAAGTTTTAGGCAGCACTTCTCAACACACACACCCTACACAGCAGGGCCGGGCGTGGTGCTGAAGGCTCCCATGTGAAGGATTTACTTGAAATCCACTCCAGTTCTTGTGTGTGTTGCAGTATATACCATATATTCATATTCATGCTTGCATTTTTCAAATTAAAACCGACCATCCAGGAGGCTGAATGATGTTTATCCTACATTCACGACCCAGTTGGAGAGTTATGGATTTAGACCATCATCAAAAGACTGTACCTTTCATTAAAGAGCTGCTGTATTTGTCAACAGAAGGTGTTCAGAGTATTTTCTTGGCTGGGACTGTTAAATCCTTCGATCAGGTTTTTGTTACAGTCATCCAGGCTGAGATTTTCACTGGATCTCTTGGGGAACATGGGGGGGCCGGTGAAATCTAAGAGATCTTGAAGAGCTCGGGCATTACCAGTTCCGTTTTGGTCCAGAGATACCCCAGGAATCATTTCACTCACTGGTGAAAATTCTGGGATGGAGATAAGCTCTTCTTTTGAAACAGGACTTGGTGGGGGGTGGTGAGGCAGAGAGAGGGGAGAGGGAAAAGGAGAAGGAGAGAGAGACAGACAGATAGAACTATTAATTCTAATATTTTGGTATACTATTCCTTTCTAGAGAAGATGGCTTTTGAGCCAGAACTTGTGTGTAACACATTGTAAAAAATACATGTTAGTTCCGATCTGAGACGCTGACAGACACAAGGACTCCATGGATGAGAGCAAGGGAGGGGGACTGAGCAGGGCTGCGAAGGCTGGGTTCACACCGCCCACAGGAAGGAAGAAAATAAGAACCACAGGCACCAGCCCTCTACTGCAGAGAAGCCAAGAACTTCCCAAACCTTTGCAATGGGAAACCCAGACAGAAGGCAAATGCTGGAAGTTAAAAGCAAGCTGAGGAAGGGCGCTAATCAGCACTGGGGTTCCGGGGGCATGGCGGGGAGGGCTGGGGTGCTGCCCCTCTCTAGCAGTGCGGCCCTGAGTGAGCTGTTTTTCCTTCCCCGGCCTCAGGTTCCTCTGCTGTACAATGGGACGAAGTCATTTCTCCCCACCAGGGCTCCTGTGAGCGGGATGTGCTCATGTTGTGGAAGTGTTGGTGCCATGCCGCCTGCTGTAATGTTAAGTGCTCAAATTGAGGTTGGGGCCTTCACCTACAATGACCCCACCATTCACCCGGTCACCTACAGAGGGAACCTCTCCCACAGCTTCCTGTCTAAAGGGAGACTTCCACTCCACCCCCTGACTTGTGCAGCTCCTGCCCAGAGGGCCTGGCTCACTCTTTCTCCTCGTCCTAAAAATAGAAGGCTGCCTGCAGCAACCAATGGCCTAGCTCAGATGGGTGGTGAGTTGCCATTTGAGAGCCCATCATTTGGAGTCTCTCTTAACAGCCAGAGTAAGGCTGCTGCCAGGTTGATCTGTTCTTTTTGTCCTTGATAAGATCTTAAGAGAAGAATCTGGAAAAACCCAGTGAACTGTAGAAGCTCGGAGGATCCGTCTCCTCCACATTGAGCAGCAGCTGACCTAATACCACTTCTGGTGCCTGGGCAAACTGCCTCATTAGCAGACACCGGCCCCCCACCCATTCCCTGGGTTTAAACAACTGGTCAGAGCTTGGGGAGGAGAGAATGCCACCAGCTTAGGCGCAACCTCCTGGAACCACCCCTGTCCAAAGGCAGAGGTGGCCACCGGGAGAGCTCAGTGCACACACAAAGTCCCTTCACGGTTTTGATCCCTGGCTGGTGCCATATCTTGCGCCCTTCCCCCATGCAGAGACATAAAGGGAAAGGTGGCTCAGCACAGGGGTGGGGAGTGGAATGCTGTGCTAGCCTTTAACAGGCGTCTCCCCCGGGGGCAGAGTGGAGTCAGGGGAGATGGCGGCAAGGGTTAAGGAGGCCCTGCTATCAGTTTGCACAAGACTTGCTCTTCTGGTGGTGGGCTGCTGGACCCTGAGTTTTCACACATCCGGCTCAGGGCCAGGGTGCACCAGCCAGGATATTTACAGTCAGTATGCCCTAGGAAAGACCCTCCGCCCCATGCCCCCAGCCCACCCCCCGACTATGCTGACAATTCACAGCCAAGGACAGCAGAGTAAACTCTGGGAGAGCTTTGGCATGACACTGTCCGACCCTCCGAACTCGGAGAGCACCCCCACCCCCACGCCAACAACCCTGCCTGGGGCTCTCTGTTCTGGTGCCTCTGCCCCAACCCCACGCTAACTGCGTTCTCCTTCCGTCCGAGATTAGTTTGCCTCGTGGCGCCATCTGCAAACATACCAGTTTGGTATAAAGAACCCCTTCCGTTTTTAGAATCTGAAAGCAAATTAGTTCCTTTCTCAAGTCTGCAATGACAGATTCACTTAAACCTGAGACATTAGACGCAGTGGGCCCTGTTGGTGCCCCTCCACCTGCAAATGCACCCATGCCCTGGCTGCAGAGAGCTGGCAACTAAGGATTCAGAGCCACCACCCTTTTTCTGATAATTGCCTTCAGCTGACAGGGGCCCCATGCCCAGACATTACACCTGTATCCCCCCCCACAGCGCCCCCATCTCCCCACCCCAAGTGGCCCACAGCCAGGACTGACAGATAAGGGAGCACTGAGAGATAAGAGGCGAGAGGGCAGTCTGCCTTATCTCCCTTATCTCATTCAAGCCAGTCTGATTGGTATTCATCCTCCAGGGCTCCCATGGCACCAGCTGGGACTACATCCTTGCCTAATGATATCCCTGCCTCATCCGGTTCCCCGCCCCCTCCACTTTCCCCTGTGAACTCTCTCCGATAAATCTCAGGCCCTAGACCCCCTGACCCCAGGATATGCTTCTAAGGAGCCTGACCCAAGACACCAATGTGCCACTAAGAGCTTTCGTGAATGGCAACCGAACCTACTGGAGGTGATCTGGGTGTGTAGAAAATGAAGAGATCAACTACAAGGCAGGGGAGGTGTTTGGAGAAGAGATGAGGCTCAAATGCAAAAGAAACCAACTTACCTGACATCCATAGACTGAACTTCTTCGGCTGAGTGGTCCAGATTGTTTGATTTCCCATCAAGGGTGTCCAGATGAACAGGTCCCCCAACTGCTTTAAGCGCATTGGAGAAAGTGTCTCCGGGAAAAGTTTCTGGGACAGCAGGCTCCACACTATTAACTTCCTGGCAGGTGCTCAATCCATTGATTTCTGATTGAGAACATAAAGCCATTCTGTTAATCATGAAATATCTCAAACAATGGAGCAGCAGAGGAAATATACATATGGACTCAATTAATGTAATCCTCTGCTATACCAACAGTGCAAAATCTTTTGCAAAAAGAATCCCAGGTAATCACTTTGACAGAGGGGGAGGGGAGACAAATGGCATATCGCCAGTGTCTGTGTGGCAGGGCCCATGACCCAGCCAGGGGACTTGGTGTCATACACTGTACAGGTCCCCAGGCTCTGGTAGCAGGTCCTTGAGCCATGAGACAAAGGAGAAATGTGAGGAGTGACTCTGAGATGGATACACGTTTTCTGACTTTGGCTGCCGTGAAATATTCCAACTTAAGGAGTTTTAAGTATACGTGCTAGATGAGAGCTGGACTACCCAGGAGTGTGGAAGGCAGGAGAAACCACCATAGAATAGTACCCAGTACTTTTTAAAAAAATATATTTGTTGATTTTAGAGCGAAGGAAGGGAGAGAGAGAAACATTGATGTGAAAGAGAAACAACAATTGGTTGCCTCCCACACACACCTTGACTGACGATCGAACCCGCAGCCTAAGTATGTGCCCTAGACTGGGAACAGAACCCCCAACCTTTTGGTGCACAGGACAACGCTCCAAACAACTGAGCCACACCGGTCAGGGCCATCCATTCTTAACAGAACCTGCCCAGTAGTTAAGCTCCCTGGAAAGCAGCATGGGCCAGCAGCCAGCTGGCTCCTGTACCGGGGTTACTAGAATAACGGGGGAACCCAGCGCTTTCCACATGGACCTGGCGGACCTGTGCTGGAGATGGAGACTCCACCAGGGAAGGGAAGGTGCACAGGCCCCCCTCCAGCAGACACGCTCCTAGGACCCACGGGTGTTTGTCCTCTGCGGGAAGTATGTCGAGCCCTCCCCTGCTTGAAGGAGGGACCCAAGAACCAGACCTCACACTCACCTATTTTGTTTGGGACAACTGCTTTTGTCTTATTTTCCACACACACAGCAGGCTGAAGCTCCATTTTCAGGTCTTCTTTCTAAAAACAAATAGACGGAAGACTGACTTACATAGAAAGACACGCTTTGGAAAAGCATCACAGGCTATTTGGAACCACGCTGGGCCATCCGCCTGCTCCACGGAATTCTCTGAGTCTTCTGAGCTTATTATTACAAGGCAGCTGTGTTTCTCGTATTAATATGGAACCATTCTCTGTTTTATTCATGACTACTGTGTCTCTCCTGCACCCCCACCCCCATTTCTCTGAGGAAATTTGTAATTACCACCCTATCTCTGAAACTCCTCTTCTCCGGTACCTACAACCTCCTTAATGTAGTCGGGAACAAAGCAGAAAGGGTCCATTTCGTCTGGCCGTTCCTCTCCGAGATTGACAATGCCACTGAATGTATTCTGCCACTCAGCCCACGAACTGTGAAAACGGTATTCTGAATGCCTACCTTCACTTCTGGAGACACATCACTCTTCCTTGTCCTCTTCATGATTTCATCTATTCTCTGGAAACCAAAAAGAATCAGGTAAGAAGAATGCATGACCCAAACCACAAGAAAGTAGCTGGGCCTATATGCAAATTGCACGTTTTTCAGCAAAAGCATAAAAGAGAAACATCAGCAGAGGGTAAGGAGTGTAGAAAGGGTTTCCATTGGTTCTGCAGATGTACACCGTTGCCCTATGAACAAGGTCAAAGGTTTGAAAAGTGAACTAGTATCTGGAATCAACGTTTTGTTTATAGCCCCTCTTCTTCCTTTCTCTTCTTAGGTTACCTAAAGATCAATCAATCACCACTGGCCATATAAGAAGACCACCCTAGACAAAGTGAGGCTGACGTGCAAGTTGGGAAGGGAGGACACAGACTGGTCTCCTGGCTCCCAGGCCTACAGCAACACGAAGCCCAGGCTGGAGCTAGGACGCCAGGAGATTGGACCCTTTTGGAATCTGCCTCCTTAAATCCCACTTCACCCATAACTGCATTAAATGTAAATAGACCAAACACTTCAATTTAAAGGCTAAGACTGCCTACCAAGTCCTGACTATATGCTGTTTATAAGAGATACAGTATAAGGACACACACAAGATCAAAGTAAAAGGATGGAAAAAGATTTACTGTGCAAATTCTAATCCTAAGAAGATGAAGGCTTAGTGGACTTTAAGACAAATATTACTGGCTCTGCAGGGTGTGGCTGAGTGAGTTTGACATCGGCCCACAACCTGAAAGGTCGGTGGTTCAAATCCTGGTCAGGGCACACGTCTGGGTTGCAGGCCCGGTACCTGACTGCGGGCATATGAGAGGCAACTAATCAATGTTTCTCTCCCTCTTTTTCTCCACCTCTTCCCCTCTCTCTAAAAATAAATAAATAAAATCTTTTTTAAAAACTCAAGTATTACTAGAGACAAAGGACATTTCTAATGATAAAGGTGTCCATTCAAAAGGAAAATGAAGTAATCTGAAGTACATATTCACCCAAGAGCAGAGCTTGAAAACATGTAAAACAAAAGTTGATAGAACTGGAAGGAGAAATGGACAAATTCACAATCACAGTTGGAGCTTCTAACAGTCCTCTGTCAGTAACTGATAGAACAAGATGACAGAAAACTAATGAAGGCATAGAAGATCTGAACAGCACTATCAATGAACCCATCCTAATGTGACAATTCTAAGATCACTCTCCTCAAGAACTGCAAAAGAGAATTGGCTTCACCTCACCCTCGGTGCTCTGAATCCCTTAGCTCTTACCTTCTTCCTCTCCAGTCGCTCCTGTTCAATCTGCAGCATGATCTGTTCTCTGTCCAGACGCATCTGTTTAGCTGCCTCCTGGGCCTTTGCTTCTGCTTCTTCCTTCTGCTAGAAACAGGTAAACCAAGCACAGGGTTTACTAAGCTAAGAGAACACTATAGTTATTCCCTGGGGTTGGCCCATGTTCTTCGACCACATCATCTATTCCAAAGTGGCTGCCGCACCAACATTCAATGTAGATTTTACACAGACGGCTCTATGACACAGCAGACATGGCTGGGCCTCACTCATCCACCCTTGGTCCATCGTGCAAATCAGGTGCAGGCAGTTCCCACTGGTGGCCAAGGGCTGTGTCAGATGGTAGTTTCTGGCCATGAAGTGGTAGAACGTGGCTAGAGTTTCAGGAAATTAATTCCCCAACAGGTGACCTTTGAACAGAAGTTGGTAGATGAATAATCCAGTTCCCTCGCCCCTCAGAGGGACAATTCTAAGGCATGTTCCATAGTTTCTTAGTCTCAAAAGGAGTGAGTTCCAGTTGCCCACAGTAACCCACTCATCAATGTGCTTACATTGGCTTTCCCCTGATTCCCTGACAAGTCTCCTGGGATTTTTTCCTGAATCAACTACTGACAAGCAGCCCTGACCGGTGTGGCTTGGTTGGTTGGAGGTTGTCCTGCAAAGTGAAAGGTTCCTGGTTCAATTCCCGGTCAGGGCACATGCCGAGGTTGTGGGTTCGGTTTCCAGCTTGGGGTGTGAGAGAGGCAACTGATTGACATTTCTCTCTCACATCAATGTTTTTCCTCCTCCCTCCCTTCCCTTCTCTCTAAAAATAAATATATATAAACCTTTTTTTCTGTTTTTTTTTTAAAGATCTTATTTATTTATTTTTAGAGAGGGAAGGGAGGGAGAAAGAGAGAGAGAGAGAGAAACATCAATGTGTGGTTGCTGGGGGCCATGGCCTGCAACCCAGGCATGTGCCCTGACTGGGAATCGAACCTGCGATGCTTTGGTTCATAGCCTGCGCTCAATCCACTGAGCCATGCCAGCCAGGGCTTATATAAACCTTTTTAAAAAATACTTCAAGTAAATATTATGAGTCATTCAAATTTAATTTTACCTAATATAAACTAAAGCCCTTAAGGAAAGTCTATATGAAGACAGACAGTACCTGCTTTTCAATCATGGCTTTTTCTTGCTTTTCCTTTTCCTGTTTTTCCTTTTCTTGCTTTTCTTTCAACAGCAACTCCTCCTTGGCTTTCTTCCTGGCCTCCTCTTCCTCCAGTCTTTTCTTTTCCTCCTCCTGCCGCTTCTTTTCCTCTTCCTGTCGCTTCTTTTCCTCCTCCTGCCGCTTCTTTTCCTCTTCCTGCTTACGGGTTTCCTCTTCTAGGCGAAGTCTCTCCTCCTCTGCCTTTCTTTCCAATTCCTCTCTCTCCAGCCTTTTGAGAACACAACTGTTGTTAGAAGACAAGGACGCTCAAAAGGCAAACTGCCAGAGAACCAGGTGCTGACAGGAGGGCGTAGTGCACGACAGAGACACGTGCCCTTCAAGACGCATCCTTCGCGGAAAGCCACTCCAGCCCATGTACTTAGAAAAAACTACTAACCAGGGTTGACTTTACCTTCTGTTATATACAAAGAGCAATCATGTATTGATTTGTGAACATATTGTAATGAAGGCACAGATGTTCCCCAGTGAATCTACAAATGACCACAGCCCCATCATTCTTATTTAATGACAATTCTTTACAAGCAAAGCGAAATAAGGATTTAAAACCAACTGAAGCTATAACACACTAAGTGTCTCACTGGCCCCAAATGTGCCAGGTAGCAATCTGAGAGCAGTGACCATGAGCTCAAAAAGTTCACTTTGGGTTTTAATCACTGTACAACTTCTGAAGCAGCAAACGGAAGCAATGCTCTAAAGAAACTTGACATTGAACACAGAAATCAAAATATCTATTTCCTGTTTATTTTGGGAATCTTTAAAAATCTGTTCTAGCTTTAATTCTTTGCCGTAGAAAATTAAATGGCATTTGGACAGTTTTCATCCACAGATGAAGCGTTGGTGATGTGCTAATAAAGAGCTCTAGGCAGTGAGGGAAAATTCTGTAGCATCTCAGCGTCTGTTTCTACATTTCTAATGTGCTTCTCGCTCACACGTGTGCCCCCTTTCTCATCTGTGGAAAAACGCGAGTAATCACACTCACCTGGCAGGGCCCCTGACCACAGTGCGACATATGGGCAAGACCAAGACTGCGTTCTGATTGTGCCACTCACAATATGACCCTTCCTTGGAAAGTGACTGAACATTTCAGATGCCCATTTAAAAATGGGAATAGTTATATTATTGGCTCCGTGACATCACTGTGAGGATTGAATGAGATAACACATGGGATGCACTCCGTGCAATGCCAGGCTCCGGGCAGATTCCCAAGTGCTAGTGTGTCTTATAATTTTAAATGAATCCTTTCTCCAACCTTTGAGGTAAATCTATAAATCTATATGTGTTTCAGAAACTACCTTTATTTGGAAGCATGGGTCACTGGCTCACTAGATGCTGCTATATTGTTCGAAAAAGATCAAGACTGACAAAGAAGATCCTTCTATCCTAATGGTCGGCTTCAGGAATTGTGTCAGAAAAGAGGTATTTTAAAAGGTAAAGAAATACTTGCAGACAGGATTTAGCCTAAGACTGTAATAGTATGTGGTCAACGTATTCTACAGAAGCAGAGGTGGCAGTGCCTACAGGCATGGCTGCAACAACCACAATTATTCACAGATATTCTGGAGACCTTAGACTCCTCGTAACTAAATACACCCAGTCCAGGGTGATCACAAGTGGACATGCGCAGAACAAGATTTCTCCAGACGTTAAGCAGAGCGCTGTTTCATCCTTCATCTCTTCTAAGGAGCTGGCTGTGATTGTCCCAGGTAAGTTAATACACAAAGGATATGTTGTGTGTGAATACATGCCCAGGTTGCTTCACCGTTCTCTCTATCTTCAGAATCTGAAAAGCCATTGACATCAGCCACTCTGTTTCTCCTGTTTTACCATGAGGACTTCAGAGGTGCCCGGGGCACACACACACAGTAACTAACATATCCTCTTGCCCCCAAGTTTCCATAATCACCCACGACACAGATTCCTCCGCACAGGCCCAGCAGCCTCTGCTTGTCCCTCCTATTAGACAAAATTCCATCCCTTTGCCACGCTCTGCTTCCCCCAGAACTGGCTTCACTGGTGTGAAACCGAGTCTCTCAATACCCTCTCCAAGAATGAACATCCTTACTCTCCCTGCTTAAAGCACCGGAGAGAATATGGATTTGGTCATTTCCCCACCTCATCGGCCTTATCATCGTTACCCAGTTCCTTCCTGAGTTCACCACACCTGTGTACAGTTCTGTCACCCTGTCTGTCCTTGTTCCTGTCACCTATCCCAAACCTATCCCCCTTCCTCACCAGGAAGAAAGTACCAGAAAACTGCACCATGATCATCACTCAGCAGATGCATCCTTATGCCCATCACCAGCCACTGGTGAAGATCTTCCTTGAACAACCCACAGGTTCTAGCACTCTTCCACCCCGTCCCACCATTTTACACTTATGCCACATCCCTGACACGTGCTCAGCCTTGAATTTTCACTATTCTCTCTTACTTAAGTGCTTAAAAGTTTTTATTTTAAAAAGTGTAACCTTTAATGTGCTAAACTTCACATTCTATCATCTGCTGGCACCCCATCCTCCACCGCCTTCTCTCCTGATCTGTCTTGGGTAGCACGGTGCAGTCACTTGTGTCTGCTCCCTCCGCCCTGTGCCCCAGGCCTCCGATCCCCTCCTGAGCCCTTCTGGGATGGCATGGAACCCATGCTGCCACCCAATTCCAGGCCTAGGTGGCCCCAGGAGCACCTGTGCCCCACTGGGCTGCCAACATTGGTTAGAGTAAGGCCCAAATGAAGCTGACTGGTCATCTGTCCCTGGGCCTCAGCTGCCACTCCAGCATTTTGACCTCATCCGTTCTCCTGATGCCTGTAGAAACAGTCCAAACCACCTTTTCTCAGCCTTCACAGTCCTGCTTAGTGGAGGGCAGCACTGCCTACTTCAGAGAAGCCCGGGACCACTGCATGTGAGCTGCCTCAAGTTTTCTCCTCTATTGCATCGCTACTCATAAATTTCCCCCCTTTTTCCTCTGCTTAGAGGCAAAGGAGTGTAGATGCCACCACTGGTGCTATTAATTCCACTCTCTCCCGCACCGTGTTCCTACCACTCTCCCGTGTCTTCCTTCCATCATTTCACCCTCCTACACGGACCTTTCCACGGCCTGCAAAGACACTCAGGTCTCAGGCATCCCAAACCACTTCCCCCATCCACGCACGGCCTCGCAACATTTAACTGTTGACAATTCATATTGACTGTTCAGGGCCCCCGCCCTGTCACCTCTTCCAAGCTGGCTTAGGTCTCCATCGTTTCCAGTTTCCCTGCAAAATCTCAGTTCATCTTCTGACCATCAAGTCCAAGAGCTTTCTCTCAGCCTCAACATGTCTTGCATGTACAGACAAGATTAAATGTCCCTCCTGTGAGGACCTCTCCCCAGCCCTCTGTGCATGAGGCTCTCCCTTCCTGCCTCAGCTGCTGCCACACCTGCCACCCACATCCCTGCAGCGGATGGGTCCTGCCTGCCCCATCTCTCTCCCCAACAGCCGATCCCCTGGGGGCTCAGCCAGAGAGGCGCCAGGTCTGAGCTACAGGAAGATCTCTTGTGTGGACATGGCCACCTTGCTCACGGGGGCTCCATAACTTAAATGTCTTTCTGCGTGGGCCCCTAGCAGCTATTTTAGCCTCCCTTTTAAATTTTTATTTTTATTTATTTTTAAAGAGAGGAGAAGGGAGGGAGAAAGACAGGGAGACAAACATCAATGTGCAAGAGAAACATTGATCTGTTGCCTCCCACACCCCCCCAACTGGGGACCTGGCCCACAACCCAGGCATGTGCCCTGACTGGGAATCGAACTGGCAACCCTTTGGTTCACAGGCTGGCACTCAATCCACTGAGCCACACCACCCAGAGATATTTTAGCCTGTTTAAAAAAATTTTTTTAATCCTCACTTGAGGACACTTTTTCATCTCTTTTTAGAAAGAGAAGGAGGGAGAGTGGGAGGGCAGGGGGCAAAGGAAAGAGATGAATATATATGTATATATTCATACACATACATATACATATACATCTCCCTCTCCCTCAAGAAACATCAACTGGTTGCCTTCTCATGCACATCCTGACCCAGGATCGAACCTACAATCTTTCAGTGTACGGGACAACCCTCCAACAACCAACTGAGCCACACCAGCCAGGGCTATTTTAAATGCTTAATGTGACTTAACAGGCTCTGCCTGGGAATCACAGTAAGATCTCTGGCTTGCTAGTTGCCATCAGTGCCTTCCCCAGGGTGGACTGTGGGCTCCAGGCTTCCTTGCCCCAACTCCAAGAATCCTGATGTACCTTCTTGAGCCACCCACAAGCCCAGGGGCTACACCCTACTTTGTGTGCTTCCAGGAGAATCCCACTGTCACTGCTAGTGGTGAATGGACCAGCTTTTGCTCTGCGTCCTCGGCCCCAGCTACCTGGACTCTTGTCACCCCTTCTGTTCTGAATAGTGTCATCCTTAACGTTTCTCTCATCAGTTTGGGCAAATAATTGGCTTTCCATGGTTTGACTCAAGAGTCTTTATTTTGCTCTGCGTTCTTGTATTTGGTCACTGCTTGTGTTTGGTTTTGACTATTGAGTGTAAGCACCAAGGAGTCGTGGGATGATCTTATTCCCAGTGATATCCGTTGTGTTCCAGCCCCAGGTTGTCTGGTGCTTTCTCACCTCCCACATGGTGCTATGCAAAGCTTCACAGTCTGGCAAGAGAGAGGAAAACTGGTTTTGGGTCAAGCGTATGACTGTCATTTTTATTTAGGCCCTAGGCATCAACTCCATTTCCAGTCACCTGAACATTCTGTACATACCTTCAACTGAGTTTACCTAGAATCAAGTTGATAGTTTTTACCTTCTAAAACTAATTCCTTCTGCCCTTCCTTTATCTCTTATTGGGCCTACTGTTCTCCTAAGTCTTTAGAATCAAACCTCAGTATCAACTTTGAATTGGCCCATGTCTGTTGGGTTGTGGGAGTCTGCAGACTGCAGCTAGACCACCTGATATGAACTCACCCTCCCTTTTCCAGGTCTACCTTCCCCATACTGCTAGCCCTCGCCTTCTCTCCTAGCCCATAACTGCACTGGAGTCTTAGTTGGGCCTCTTCTCTCTTCTCTGCCTTCCTTGTACATGTACTGGGCACCAGCACTGGTGATCCACAGACTGTACCTCAGCCTTTTAAGGTGCTTACTAGGGGGAAGCGGGCCTGGGAACAAATGAAGCTGTGTTAGTCAGCCCAACAGCTGGGCTCAGGAAGAGGGAACAGGCCAGTTGTCTCCTAGGTGCAGGGCCAGAAAGGCTGCAGACAGGGAGGTAGGCTTGACTCGAGCCTGGAGAAAAGATGTGCCTGGCAAGGAGCATGAGTCCATGCAGGGTGGAAGGAAAGCGGATGTATGGGATCACATGGTTGGGGCATGGTAGGGAACTCTGACACCGGTGTCTGGAATGCTGGAGGCGGAGGAGCAGGTGGTGGTCAGGTCATGGCCACCCTTGAAGGCCTATGGATGGGTATGGATGGATCCTGTAGGCACAGGAGTTGCTAGCTTGTTAACGAACAGGAGCATGACAATGACACTTATGTGCGGATGGCCATTGGGGACACAGTGTGAAGAGTGGACAAGATCTGGGAGACCTAGAGCAGGGAGCTCAGCTCGGATGCCACAGACAGTCCAGGTGAGAGACAACAGGGGTCAGAGCTCAGAGGAGAGGACGGGCTGGAGGGGAAGGAACAGGAGACAGATGCTAAAGAGGTAGGCTGGATGCACCTGACATCTGATGGGACACCGAGGGGCAAGGAGAGGGAAGAGCTGAGAGCTGGCTGGGACTTCTGATTTGGGTGCCTGCAAAGATGGGGACAGAGAGCTTGTGATAGGAAAAGGAAGGTTGGGAGAAAGAGAATAAGGCCTACTTTGGCAATGCTCGATTTGTGGTGCACGCGGCACACACGCAAGCACACGTAAAAGGCAGTTGGCAACAGGGCCTCTAAGTGCCATCCAATAGAACTTTCTACAATGAGGGCACTGTTCTAGAGGTTGGTGCTGCCCATGGCAGCTAGTTGCCATGCAGCTGCTGTGCACTTGAAATGTGGCTAGTGCTGCTGAAGAAGTACAATCAATTCTTTCAGGAGCTGAGCTGTGAAGAAAATGTGAGAGAAGGCAGTCGCTGGCAGGTAAGGGACTTCCCCTTCCTCAGCACACAGCTACAATCATATTACTCACGTGCTCAGGGCCTACAATCACCAAGGCCTGTCATTTGAGGTCCTGGAATTCATCTTCATCTCCTGCGACCTCCCTTCACACGCCCTGTGGCCCACCCAAACCAGCCCAAGCACACCACTCAATGGAAAGACCTGCCGCTGGAGGTGGGGAAATCACCAGAGAAAAGTCTGGAGTTTGAAGAAGGAACCAGCCAGACCTACCCAACCCCTCCCCCTGCGCGCGCACACACACACACACACACACTACTTGCAAAAAAAAAAAATCATTCAACCTGTAATCAGAGACAAAAGACTTGTCAAGGTCACTTCAGGCTTGAGAATACTACTCTATTATTTATTACCCTCAATTCAGTGCCGGTCTAGAAGTGCTACATCCTGTCATGTTAATTCTCTAAATAGTATTGGATTGCACTCTGTGATTATCCTAAAAGCTTCCCTTATCAATTTAGAGGGAAAATCTACCTTGTCCTTCAATGTGCATTCCTTTCTGAATACAGAGATCTGAAAAGGCAGGCTGTCTAGATTTGGACCAAGTGCCCGGTACTAGCAATGCAGAGGTCCTCAAACTTTGGGGAGTGGTGAGGCAGAACAGGGCCTGGGCCGGTGTGTTTTCAGTATCTTTTTGGGATCATTTGGACAGCCTCCCAAGTTTAGGGACCAGTCTTCTGTCTTGCTGCAGGGTGGGAGCCCCGTACCTCATAGCTCGTGGACTGTGAGGTCGGCTTTCACCCCTTCCAGGAGCCCCTGCTAGCCCCTCCTCTCTCTCACGTGGGGGTACAAGTTAGGGTCATTTGGGTGGGGTGGGGGGGCATGATTCAGGAAGCAGAATCAAAACCCTTACACCCAGAACCTCCTGTATTCTCAGGGACAATATCATTCTCTAAATAAAGCTCAAACTGCTTTGATGGCTCTGCAAGGCCTGACTGGTCCTCCAGTCCAAGAGGATAGTGGGACACTGCTGGTAACATTTAGATCCAGGAGCTACGAGTTTCCAGGTGGCCTGAAAAGAGCAAAGTTCCATTGATGTTAATGACATCTAATAAAAGGCGAAGTCTCTCAACACCTGCCAAGCAGACCTAGACCTCCGCTGAAGCTTTGTTCATTCCACAACTCCAGAAAGAAAGGCCAGTTGCTCTTCCACCACAGACTTTTGCATGAGATTCTGACAAAACTCTGAGCTTCCCCTTACCTGTTTTGTTGGATCATTTCCATCTTCTCCGGCTCTTTTAGCTCTTTCTGTAGCCGGGCCCGTCGTCTCTTTGTGGTTAGGATCTTTGAGGTTTCCTCTGCATTGGTGGTATCTGCAGTAGGCTTCCCTGAGGATGCACCAGAGGAAAAGATCATGGGAAATAAACAGCGATTGCACTCACATGGCAACTGCCACTTGAAAGACCCTACCCAGTGGGGGATGGGAAATGCTACAGGACTGGCACAATTAGCGACTGAGCAGAGATGCTGCAATGGGCAGCTATAACCCTCACAGTGAAGGGCAGTGGAAAGACAGGGAGGAAAGACTGGGTCGCTGCTAAGTCCCACAGCAGCCACCACTACTGCGCCCATCTTGAATTCGCTGTAGCCCTCAGGGCACCTTACAGGACTACAGGAAGAGCCTCTCCACGGGAAGTGCTGAAGCAGGAGACACTCTGGAGACTGAGGGGAAGGCCTCGGGGGCAATATGCAAACCTGAGAGAACACCGGATGTGCAGCTGCCTGAGGTAAAACTCCTCCCCACTCTTTCCCTCAAACACGAGACTCCCACATGGATTGTGCATCAGGCAGAGGGCGAACCGGCCAGGACAGCTGAGGCTGGGTTGGTGTCAGCAAGAAGACCCTACCTGTATTGCCCTCAGCTTTCCCTCCTGCAGCCCCCTGCTTTTCGGTGACATGCTCATCCATTATGTCCTTCTCTGGGGCTTTGTCCCTGAGTAGGCTGCCTGATCGCTGAGCCAGGCTCCCTTCCCGATCCTTGTTGCTCTGCTCTTTCATCTTGGGCACTTCGTCTCCGGAAAAGGCAGATAAACGGTACTTCACAATAGGCTCTGGCTCTGGCAGTTTCACATGGGACTTTGGGTGTAATTTAGCACTGGTCCTGCAAAATCAAAAACAGGCCTGAAGACAATTACTGCAGCTGACCACGGAACTCTGTTCCTAAGACACCTGGTTCCAAAAAGTTGAATAATTTCATCCTTTCAGAGGAGCAAACGTAAGGCTTAGCATACACTCAAAAGTCCCTGGCGCACTATCATCCTAACAGGAACATATGGTATCTGTAAGATGTCCCTGGTGGAAGGGACAACATTGTAGGAAGCCCATTTGGGGACACCATGTCCTAATTCCACTTCACTTGGATGACAACATAAAGATGGAGTGCCAGGCATTTTCCCACCACTTCTTTTTAGATGGACACCAGAGCTGGATCTGGCTTTAGGATGTAGCAGTGGACAAGTCAAGTCCTTTTTTCTATTGTAGCAAAATACATGTACCATAAAATGTACCTCCTTAACCATTTTTAAGTGCACAGTTCAGTGGCATTAAACACATTCACACTGTGGTGCAACCATCACCGCCATCCTTCCACAGAGCTCTGATCCCATAAACACTAACTCCGCATCCTTCCTCCCTAGCTCCTGGCAACCTGCTCCCTTCTGCTTTCTGTCCGTGAATTTGACTATTCCAGGTACCTCACAGAAATGGAATCACATGGGATTTATCCTTTTGTATCTGGCTTATTTTGCTCAGCATTAATGTCGTAAAATTCCTGGTTCCTTTTTGTTTTAAGATTTTATTTATTTTTAGAGAGGGGAAGGGAGAAAGAGAAGGAGAGAAACATCAATGTGGGGTTGCCTCTCAAGCACCCACCTACTGGGGACCTGGCCCCGCAACCCAGGCATGTGCCCTGACTGGGATTCGAACCAGACACCCTGTGGTTTGTAGGCTGGCGCTCAGTCACACTGAGCCACACCAGCCAGGGCCATGGTTCCTTTAAAAAAAATTTCACCTTTACTGAGATGTAATTGACATCTGGTTCCTTTTAAAATGCTGAGGAACAAAGTCAGTTAACAAGTGGGGAGAGATGTTTTTCTGGAAGGTCTTCAGGTTTAAAAGAAGCTCTCTTGTTGCAAGGAAGATGTAAAAGGGGAGGACAAGCCTGTTTCTACCCAGGAAAACACTGTTTTGTTAAAATCCAGGAACTCGTCTTATCTCTGGTGGAAGAAGGCCCATCCCAGGTGTGCTGGGCTAGCTCTGGCCCCTGGGCAACAGTGGGCGTTCACGACTCAGGTAACCCATTAGATGCCAGTAGCAATCTCCACCCACTACCCCCAGGTGGTGACAATCAGAAATATCTCCAGACATTGTCAAATGTCTGCCCTCAGGGGCAAGGTCCCCCCCAGCTGAGAACTACTGACAGGAGACATTTGTACAGTGCCCCCCGCCACACACACCTTCTGCTTGTGTAAAGCAGAGAGAGTATAACTGCTGTGGTTGAAGGGACAGCGTCCTAATCTGCACAGTGACTCTGGCGTGCAGCCATGGGCTTCCTGAGAGCCTGAGCTGAAGAGGTGTTTACTAGGGCCCTGTGTGTTTTAACAGACAGGGTCACACCTGATCCCTCCCCTCATGACCTGCAGCTCAGACTTCCATTAACACCCATGGCCAAAAACTGGGTCCATGCTTCCTGGGTGCTGTCTACACACTGGCCATTGTGCTGGTGTGTAGACCAATTAGTGTACGTACTTGTGTATATGGGTGTCTTTTAGTTGTGAAAACACAATATGACACAGGTATTACTATTAGGGTCACTTAACAGGTGAGGAAACCAGGCTGAGCAAGGTGAAGGAGGCCACGGAGCTGCGGTCTGAGCCTACGTCTCCCTGACTCCACTTCTCACAGTGCGGCCCTATTCCATGTTGCAGTGGTAGCCAAGCCTCAGTTTGGTGAGGTCACCTCAGGTGTTCATTTTAGAACTGGCACAGAGTAAGCATGCAATAGCTACCTGTGTTAATTACATATATGATCCCCAAAATCTGAATTCTCCACACAGATAAGAACAAACTGTCACAAAACCAGGAGGAACTGTGCTGGGCCGAGACCTGCCCTATCATGATGACAATGCTCCACTGAGCACAGTTTTCCACTCAGCTGAAAAACCCTGTGTTTAGGTTCAAATCAACTGTACAAACATGGCTGGTGATCTTTTGCTGAGCAACGCGCTCCTTACACATTGTTGTCCGGGACAGTACTATTGCCAAAACTGCTAGCAGAGTGTCTCGAGAGACCAGGTGTGATGCCTTGTGAAGATCAAAATGAGTCACCCACTCCCTGGAGTATTGTGTGCAGGCTGAGTGCGGCTTTGGTCTAACCACGCTGTGTGGCCAGGGAACAGCAAAGAATTACTCTGGATTTGGGATTTGGAGAGAGGTGATGGAAAGAGTGCCGTTTGACAGTAGATGATGCCAAACAGAGAGAGGTTCCCCTCTGTAAGCATTCCTACCTTGACACATGCAATAAGAATTGCTGGTATTAGAAACACTGACAAAAAGCCTTTTGTTCTTCTTCCTTGCCTTCCTCCTCCTCCTCTGTGATCAGAGCTGGGCACCTTCAAGTGCTGTCACTGGACCTGCCTTTAGCAAGCCACACCCCTGGGGGCCTGCAAGGTAGATGGCTGAGCACCCCTTTTTCTACAGACACAACTCTCACCATGAGGGGCCACAGGGCTGGACCAGAGGGAGTTAGGAGGCCAGAACTGGCTGCAGGCCAAATCCATTGACAGCTCTCAGCAGCAGAAAGCCAGCATCTGAATCCCAATATGACCCCTTGGATCTGGTTTAAATAGCTCACTATCAGAAGGGAATGGAGCATGATGAAGCTACAACCCTCCATCAGTGAACCTAGAGCCCACAAAGGGCAATATGCGGCAGGATTACAATCCCAGGGAGCAAAGGCAGGACTGGCCTGGATAAAGAGGTTCTGAGAGCTTGGGTCAGCTCAGCCCCAAAGCAGCCTTGCTTCCACTCACTTTAACAGGACAGTCACATAGGTTCCCTTCACACCACACACTATTATTCTAAGTAAAACTAGGCCAATTATCCACGAGCACACATCTAAAGATAGTTTCTACCTGGAAAGTAAGGATGGGCTATTTTAGAAAACAGCTCTAAACATTAAGAAGTCTGTTTAGAATCCCCTATCCCAGCTCCTGCTTAATAAATAGAAAATTAAAGAAAACACGCACACCCTTCAAATGAGAGTACAGGCAACTCATTGACTTTTTTTTTTTTTTTCACAGTGAGTGACCAAAACACTGAAGAAAATCTTATAAGTTTCCCGTTTTATTTTTGTATCTTTCGAGTTTCCTGCTCATCCTGTCTGTTCACTTCCGTAGGTGTTAGTCCCCTACCAGGCACCTTCTAAGCTTGGGCATCTTGAACCAGGAGGTGATGTGAGCCTCACAGCCCTTAAGGCCCTCTGGCCAGCCCTGCTCACACAAAGTATTGCAAAGTCATCCTCCTGCCAATTTCCTAGAAATAAGTATCTTGGCTGATGAAAGAAATTAAATGCCATTTAATCAAGGGGAACTCACTGTGCTCTCATAGAGTTTTGTTTTGAAGCACTTCATCTATTTACTTTTTAAAGTTTATTATTTTTATTTTTTAGATTTTATTTATTTTATTTTTAGAGAGGGGAACAGGGACAGAAAGAGGGAGACAAACATCAATGTGCGGTTGCCTCTTTCGCACCGCCAAGTGGGGACCTGGCCGGCAACCCAGGCATGTGCCCTGACTGGGAATCGAACCAGCAACCCTTTGGTTTTCAGGCTCGTGCTTGATTCACTGAGCCACACCAGGTAGGGCTATTGTCTATTTAATAGGGATAATAAGGATCTATTTGACTGCCACGAGAACCCAGTGAGGTAGGTAGGAAATTACTGTTAACCATATTTTAGATAAGAAAACCTAAGTCTTAAATGCTGAAGTGACCTTTCCCAAGATATGTCAACAGATGACATAGCCAGGGCTGGCATGCAAGTCACTTCATCTTGCTTTGTAATAGATCTTCTACTTTGTTTTTTAAAAGTTCAATACCCCCAGTGATTAAAAATCTAACAAAGGGGGCTTACAAGTTTTGTTGGGGTAGTAGAGCTACCCTAACAGGTGTGCAAATGAGAATTATGTAACATTTTAAGGTTCCTGACTGCAGAAAACATGAACAAACACCTCTGTAAGTAGGGCAGCAAGAATAACTCTCAGGAGAGGGTTGTCACATTTCTGAACATGAGCGTACTGCAAAGCAGAACCCCAGAGGACTTCTTTTCTCCACAGCTTGGAATCTAGGTCCAGTTTATCCAAAGCCCCTTGACTCCAGGCACAGTGAACAAAGCACACGCGCCACATGGGAGGAGTCTGTGGCCTTGTCAGCACAAGTCCGCCAATATCCTTTCTTTTTTTTAAGTTTTATTTTTTTTATTCGAGAGAGAAAAGAAGAGAGAAAGAGGAAGACAGAGAGAGAGAGAGAGAGAGAGAGAGAGAGAGAGAGAGAGAGAGAGAGGCAGACAGACATGTGAGAGAAACATCTTACCAGTTACGTTTCACACTAGGTTGTGGGTTTGGTTCCAACCAGGGACCAAACCCGCAACCTAGGCATGCACCCTAACCAGGAATCAAACCTGTGACTTTTCATTTTATGCGACAACATTCCAAGTGAGCCATGCCAGCGAGGGCTTGGCTAGCATTCTTTAAAATCTATGTTTATGGTCATAGCTTGTTCCTTCTTAGAGAGGAAAAGAACAATTCTGTACCAGACAAACCTGTGGATACCACCTTAACACAGTGATGAAGGTTTCCATTACCAAGAATGTAACCACCTGACATGCTGGCCTCCTGATGTGATGCACTCAGAAGGAGCTGACATCCCTCCTGTGGGATTCCTGCCAACTTTCAACTTTGAAGAAAAAGCACAGAAAACTGAAATGTAGAGAAGGATTCAGAGACTGGGACCCCTCCCCTACTGTGGCACCTGGTATCCCCAGTGGGTCAAGGGGAGGAAGAGAGAATGCTGCCACTCACTGCTGAGCCCCGGACAGAGTCGCACCTAGAGTGGCAGTGCACCCCTACCTCCAATGGGACTTGGAGAGCCATGTTCTCAGCACATCACCTGCCAAAATTCTGCCTTTACACCAAGTCCTGTCCTTACCAGTCTTAACACCGCTTTAAATTTCTTTTGTAAAGTTGGCAAGCAAAATACCCTTTCCCCTTTTTTGGTAATACAAAAGCAGTATGTGATTTTTGTCGATAGTTTTGAAAATGCAAACACAAGCAAAAGAAATGGAGGGGGTGGATAAAAGACCTCACTGCCCCAAGAACCACTGACTGTATACACATATATACATTCACCCATGTGACCAGGCATATGCACATTAAATACCTATCGATCTTTTAAAAATAATTTATTAATCCTATGCCTGAAATCCATCTTAAGGAAATATTCATAAATATGGAAAATAATGCAGTTGATAAAAATGAAACCATGTTCCACATACCACTTTATAACATCCTGATCACCTTTCCATGCAATTACATATTGTTCTTCATGGCTTTTTGTGGCTGTATAGTATTCCATTATTTGGATGTATCATAATTTGTTTAGCAATGCCCTACTGAGAATAGTTATGTTGCCTGCCACTTTGCACTATTAAAACAAGGCTATCCTTGTAGCATTAAAAAAATATAGCACAGAGCCTACTGAGAGCTTGCCTCCAAAAACTGAATTCTTTTTCTACAGAGAGGGCAAGCAACCCCTTGTTCATCTTAGTGAAATTTACAATGATGATGATGATGAAGCTTGCCAGCTACTATCCAGGCAGAGAACATCAGTCAATATCCTGGAAAGAGAGGGGGAAGAATCTAAAAAAACCCCAATGTGAATAGGCTTTTCTCTCTGTTAATACCAGTGTCCCAAACTATCACCACAGTAAGTGACCTGTGAAGGCAAGACTCAGAAATGAGACAAATAGAGACCTTACAGACCATCTGAGAGAGTTAAGAGTTTACAAGAGAGCAATACCATAGCCAAAGGCAGGCAATACAAGCACAGAAAGGATGCAATGGGCTTAAAAAATTAACAAACCAACACACTAGTCATTTAGCTATGCACTGTGGAAGGCAGATACAGCAATAGCAGGAATTCATAGTCTATATAAGCCATCGTGATCTCTGAGCAAAATAATAATAGTGAAAATGTCTATAGTAGAAAGCAACAAATTAGAAGTAAAAGCTGCTATCACCCTGAAATATTTTTAAGAAATTCCCAAGTGTTCATTCAATTTGTGTTTTATCCTACGTTCTCTGAGCCAAACTGATGCGCTGAGCAAGTTTTATATGATTCTCTCTCTATATAGAGTTTCTTATTTTCCCAAATTAAAATCCTATTTCTCTTCCTCTCTCAGTCCCACTGAAGATGTTTCCATTCCACTGCTGGGTTGTGTTACTTACTGAGTCATTCTTGTCAGTACTATCAGTAAAATATGTTAATGACTTAAGTAAGACACAGCTACAAGGCAATTTGTTTTTCAGCTACAGTTTCACTGGTGAGTTCACCCAGCTCTTAATTTTAAAAAAGAGCTTTAGCCCTGGCTGGTGTGACTCAGTGGATTGAGCACCAGCTTGTGAACCAAAGGGTCCCTGGTTCGATTCCCAGTTTAGGGCACATGCCTAGGTTGCAGGCCAGGTGGGTCCCCAGTAGGAGGCACGCGAGAGGCAACCACACACTGATGTTTCTCTCCCTTTCTCCCTCCCTTCTCCTCTCTCTAAAAGTCAATAATTAAAATCTTTAAAATGAATAAAAAAGGTCTTCACTATAAATAATCATACTGCTAATGATGGCTGACAAGTTATTATTGCCTCTTTTAATGAGACAGACACAAGTAGAATGGAATCACTTCACTCCAGATGCAGAAGGAGAAAGGACAATGCCAGAAAAACAGAAAGGGATTGATGGACCTAAAGAGGAAATGCTGGCTAAAAGTTTAGAGCTCAAAAGTCCGTAGCCACGGTCCTGAACACAGGAGTCCTCTGGGCCTCGGGGATCACCTGGTATCCGGTCTCATAGCATGGTTCCCAGGGCGGTGTTACGCTCCCCTGGGGTTCAGGTAAGCTATGGACTGAGCATGGTGATTCCTCTCTGTCATGAGCTCTCGGTCCTGTGTATTTTCAGCTAGGGAGAATAGTGGGGGCTGGAGATTGGGTATTGGGGACTTGGCGATTGGGGAAGGGGGTGCAGATGAAAGCTTAGCTGCAATGTTGGGAGGCCTGAGTGTTGATAACGGGATGTTAAGAACAGCCGAACATAAACCTGAACACCTGGGCGGGGAAGTAGAACTTACAGGGAACTTTCCGGAGGCCTAGGGGTTCTCCCTACCTAGCATTCCCATTCCCATCCCAGTGCCGGGTGTAGGGAATCCTGAAATCAGGTGCACAAAGCATCAGGGTCTGAAACTTTAGGACCTCAGAACTCACGGCTGTAGATTTTAAAGCACATAGCATTCTGGTGGAATCTCGGGGGACTACATTCTGATATTATTTGGGGTGATCTGGGAGTCCACGCTGCTAAGGAAGGTCCCATGACTTCCAGGCCTTTGTCTTTCCTGGAATAAGTTATCAACCAGCCCCCGGCTCCGGCTCCGCTAGACGGAGAAAATGCAATTCAATACCGTCAGCCGGGGGAGTGGGAAGTGCTAAACGAAAGGTTTACCCGCGAAACCAGGGATTATCCTGGTCCGAGAGGCCCGGAAGCCCTGTAATTGTTTGGCTCTACATTCACATTTCTGCCACGTGCACTACCATTTCCGGTTTCTTTCTTCGGAGCAGTTCATACTTACTTGATGAGAGGGAAGGAGGAAGAGGAAATATCTTTCAGTCTGATTCCTATTACTTGTGGAAGGAGGCTGATAACCCCCTCCCCGACTTTTTGTTTTCTTCCTGGAGTGCTTAATTACGGCTTTAAGAAAGGGAGAGTGTTTGTTTTGATGGAAATTTCAGTCGCTCCCCCTCTCGAATGGTGTGCTCCAACCAGAGGGACTCCAATCTCAGTGGACGCTACCATTGCGTGGGACCTTTTTTTTTAAAGTGTGCACAGGGCAAACCCTGGGTATTTTCGCAAATGGGTACATTTGAGAATTAACAATGAAAAAGTGTAACGACGGGTCATTTGTGACGGAGAAACAACTCTCGTATCCGGTTTTGGACTAAACCATTTGAACCTCGAACGCAGACGGAACGTCGTGAAAGCGGAAGGGGCGGGCCTTGGGGAGGGGCAGCCGGTGGTCCTAAAGGCCTCCCACTCCGGCTAGTTGTTGCCTGTGAGAGGAGCTCGACCCTTGCCAAGTCCAACGTTTAACCATTTCCCACGCATCTTCATCCCTTAGGCCAAAGTCATTCCATTCAGCAGTGATTTGCCACGCACCTCCTAAGACCCAGGCACTGTGCGTGGTACCTAAAATTTGCTTTTTTTTTTTATAAATTGAGGCCTCATTTACACCCACTGCAATTAGAAGATTTCAAAATATAGAACATTTTCATCGCCCCATCGTGATTTTTCATCGATTTTTCACCGATGAAAATGATACAGAACATTTTCATCGTCAAGTAATTTTTCTACAAAGGCCCCAACGTGAATCTGTGGGGAAAAGATTATTTTCTTGTTGTTTTTATTTAGATTTTTTTTAATGCAGACAAGTACAAAGATAACACTCATCCCCCCGCCCCCCAAAAAGGGAGGAAATGCTGAATGGATCATCTCAGTAAGCTAGAGTCCCATATTTACCAGGCAACAAGATCCCTTAAACGCCTATCATTTACCCAGAAGGTACTCAGAGAGAGAAGGAGGTAAATCCAGCATTCCTCCTGCTCACCTCTCAGGGCCAGCCATGCCTCTCGGTGGGTGGGGGTGCACGAGGCACACCCCACCCTGCATGGAGCACCCCCCCAAACTCCTTTAATCATACAACTGTGACAAAGGGGAAAGATGCTTACCTGGTTGTCACAGGAGAAGATGACCTCTTAGCATTGCCCTTGGGAGAATCGCCTATTTTTGCAAGGGACCCAGTGCTCCCCTTGGAAAAAGAAATTGATGTTAGTGAATCCCACTTGATCTTCTCCACTGTAGGGGACACAGAATAGGATGCCATGACCCACAGCTACAATTTCTAAAACTACCCCAGATGGAAGCAATGCACAACTTTCTTTCAGAAGGATCTGTCTGAAGCTACAGTGCTTCCCACAGTAGGAGTATCTGCAGAGAAGCACCATGAGGTCACCAGAGTTAGGTGACTCAGTTAAACAAAAAATAAATTCAGCCTCCAAATGCAAAGATTTCCTTGTCCTTGTCATCTTGAGAACAGCAAACAATAGAACCATACTCTGGTCCTGGATGCAGGGGTTAAGAAAAGTAGGTTAAATTAACAGCCATCATTACCCAAAAGATAAATCATAAGTAAGGATATGAAATAATGACAATAAGACAAATAATCCAAATAAAGAATTTCAATAATAAATAATAATACACAAATAAAGTCTATTTTTCACATACTCACAACTGCAAACCTACTTGTCCCCACCCCTGTATATAGAAACTGGAAGGAGTACAAAGATCTAAAATCGCTACAAAAACTTGCAGGTGGTTGCAACTGTAGTTATAACACCCAAGACCCTGGGACCCCACCCACCCCTCGATGTCTTCCTCTTGGCCTCCCTCTGCAGGAGGCTGGAGACACGGGCCTCAGTGCTTGGTCCACAGCAGGCGCTCCACAAGGGTGGCCCCTTTTCTCTGTACTGCACTTTTTTGCGGCAAACCCTCACCTGGTCCCCACACGCACACACATGGGCCTCCTTCCACAGTCATCCACCGTACAGTAAAAGCCAAGGATCTGAAACATTCACTTTTCGTGTGAGAACCGCAGGGCCACACTGGATTTAAAAAATAAATGCCTGACAGTACTGTAAGGTGGAGGTTTGAAAAGAAGTGCACACATCACTGGGTGTTCTCCCTTCAACCGGTAGAGCCCAACTCCCGTGTTCCTGAGTGTGGGTTGGTCTCAGTGACTTGCCAGAGTGATGTTGTGCCACATCTGGGTTATAAACGTGTTACAGCTTCCCCCGTGCTCTCGGAATCTCTTGCTCTGTGGGCGGCCAGCTGCATGTCATTTGGACACTCAAGTAGCTCTATGGAGAGGTCACACAGTAAGGAACTGAGGCCTCCTGCCAACAGCCATGTGAGTGAGCAGGCTGCAGCCCTGGCCCCGATCGTGACCACACCCTCACGGGCGACCCTGAACCAGAAGCACCCAACTAAGCCAGCCTCAGTTTCTGACCCAAAGAACCAGTGAGGTAGTACACATTTGTTTTAAGCTGCTAAGGTCTGGAGTGATTTGTTACGTAACAAGTGACAACTAACAACATTACAGCATGTGTCATTTCTGAATAGATACACCTAATTGGGGGTATCTGCTCAACATCTGTTTTGCTGACGGTGTCAGTGTGCCAGAAAAAATGTTTCAAGGCCACTGTTGTGAATGAAGGCTGGCTTAGAACCTCAGTTCTGGTTGCCTATAGAGGCAAGACTGGCCCAGATTCCGATGCCCTTAAAGAAGCAGAGAGAGGACACTAAGAACATTTCTTCTGACTCATGTCCTCTGGAGGGCAGGCTGTAAGGAGGACAAGGTTTTGCGCCAAGGCACTCAGATTTAGGAGGGGACGAAAAGTTAAATGACTATCAGAGGTGGGGTGAAACGTTCAACCGAATCTGGCCCTTGAGCAGTTGGACGTTGGCAAACAGAGGCCCAACACAGGCCAAGTGCAAGGGGAATTGTACTATGAGGTAACAAGTGTGTCTTGAGGGTGAGTGGTGGGTGTACACATACCTTAGAAGAGTCTGCTCTTGCAGGAGGTGCTTTCCCAGTGTCTCCTCCAACAGAAGGCAGCGTAGTCTCTTTATCCATGATCCAAGCAGGGGAAGACTTGTAGAGATATTGAAGAGGCTTGGCAGCACATATACGAGGACCAGTATGGAACACTGGAGTTACAGTACAGCAGCCAGAGACACAGGGAGCACAGGCGGACAAAGTAGGATGAGCCAGGAGTTGGAAAGAACACATTTCTGTTAAAACGCGGCATGGGCAATCCACAGTCCCAAGACACCACCAGACTTTTCTCATTTGCATAGCAAGGACTCCAAGGTAAAAGACTCCCGCACTCAATGGTCAAGAGTCCAGCTCATTTCAGGAGTTCAAAATCTGAGCTTTGGAGCCAGACAGACCTAACACCATCACCTAATAGGTGGATCACCTTGGTCAGGTGACTTAACCTCTCTAAATGTCAAATGTACAAATGTACACTTCCTTGTGTACAGAGACTTAACACAGCAGGCGTGACTACTGCCTCTGGAAAGGCCTGCTTACAAAGTTGGCCCTTGGTCGGCATCTGGGAACTTCGATTTCAGGAGAGTTCCTACCATGCATGGAGTAAAGAGTAGCTCACTATACCTAAGCTGCTTGTACAAACATGGCTTCTCCTGCTTTCCTTCTGAGAGTTTAGAATTTGGGTATGTGCCTGGCAGCGGGTGCCTACGTGACAAGCCCCCAATAAGTGACAAGCCCCCAGTAAAAACCTAGGCACATGTCACAGCTCGTTGCTGGGAAAATGTGTCCTGTGTCACTATTCTGGGACAGGACTCTGGAAGCTTGTACCTAGTCTTCCCCAGACTTTGTCCCATGTGCCTTTCCCTTTGCTGATTTTGCTCCGTAGCCTTTCCCTGTGGTAAAGGATAGCTTTGAGTTCTCCCAGAGAATCACTGACCCTCAGAGTGGTCTTGGGGACTTCCTGATACATCCCTACCTCCTGTGAATTTTTTATTTGTTTGGGAAATAATTCACATACCATAAAATTCACTGTTTTAAAATTCAGTGTTTTTTAGTATATTCACAAAGTTGTGCAAACATAACTACAGTTTAATTCCAGAACATTCTCAACACCCTCAAAAGAACCGCATAACCTATTAAGTATTTCACTCCTCCCCCCGTTCCCTAGCAACTACTATTCCAGACATTTCACAGAAATGAAATGCCATTTCACAACTTGTGGCATTTTGTGTCTGGCTTTTTTCATTGTTTTCAAGGTTCGTCATGTACCATGAACCAGAAATTCACTGCTTTTTATAGCTGGGAGAACTCAAAGCTATCCTTTACCACAGGGAAAGGCTACGGAGCAAAATCAGCAAAGGGAAAGGCACATGGGACAAAGTCTGGGGAAGACTAGGTACAAGCTCCCAGAGTCCTGTCCCAGAATAGTGACACAGGACACATTCTCCCAGCAACGAGCTGTGACATGTGCCTAGGTTTTTACTCGGGGCTTGTCCCATAGTTCACTTTATGGATATTTCACATGTATTAATTCACTTGTTGAGAACATTTGGGTTGTTCACACTTCGTGGCTGTAATGGAAAATGCTGCTAAAAGCATTCATGTACAAGTTTTGGTGTGAACATATGTTTCCAATTTCCTTGGCTCTATACCTAAGAGTGGAATTGCTGGGTCATATGGTGACAGTGTGTTGAACTTTCTGAGGACTCGGCCAGGCTGTCTTCCAAAGCGACTGTACCATTTTCATTCCCACCAGCAATTTCTCTACATCTTCACCAACACTTATTTTCCTTTCTCTCTCTGAATTTTAGCTATACTACTAAACTGTGAAGTATTATCTTAAGATTTTTTAAAAGCATTTTGTATTGACTGATTTTAGAGAGAGGGAGGGAGGTGTGAGAAAGAGAGAGAGATTTGTTGTCCACTTATTTATGCATTTACTGGTTGATTCTTGTATGTGCCCTGACCAGGGATCCAACCTGCAATCTTGGCATAGTGGGACGATGCTTTTAACCAATAGGGGTACTAAGCCAGGGCCTCGTTGTGATTTTAATTACCATTTTGCTAATGACTAATTGTGTTGAACAGCATGTCATGTGCTTATTGGCCATTCGTATATCTTCCTTGCAGAAATAGCACAACTACTTGGAAACAACTGGAACTAGGTAGAGAACTATATGTCATTCATATGACATCTCACAGGATACACTATCTTGGGAACTGAGACCAGACCTATCCTAATGTGGATATGTGCAAACAGAGGATGCCATCCCTCATTAACCTTGCCGTGATGATCTGACCCACTTTGGTCAAGAAAGGGCTTTGAGCCCTGGCTGGCATAGCTCAGTGGATTGAGCACAGGCTGCGAACCAAAGCATCGCAGGTTCGATTCCCAGTCAGGGTACATGCCTGGGTTGCAGGCCATGACCCCCAGCAACTGCACATTGATGTTTCTCTCTCTCTCCCTCCCTTCCCTCTCTAAAAATAAATAAATAAAATCTTTAAAAAAAAAAAGAAAGGGCTTTGATGGCATGGCCCAGTGTTTCTCAGACTACAGTGTGCAGGTCTGCTGGCTCCAGACAGTCTGTCTTCCTAACACACTCCCAGGCGATGGTGGTGCTGCAGGTGCACAGACCAGCCCATGAGTAGTGAGGCTCCAGGCATTTGTTAAGCTCTCTTACTGTGCCAATCATTGTGCTATCTCATGTAATCCTCATGAGAATTTAAAAGAAATTTATTTTATAAATGAGGAAACTGTGGCCTAGGCGGTTAATTAACTTATCCAAAGTGGTTAAAAAGCAGTAAGTGGTAGATCTGGCTACAGGATTCCAGAGACTGTGGTTTAAAGGCTACTTTGCCAAGCCATCTCTAATAAAAGCTCACTAACCTCCATAGCTCACGAAAATGATTTTTCCATAATTGACATGCCCGCAATGATGAAATAACTCAATTGCCTTTGTGACATTTAAAAGAAAAGAAACAGCCCTGGATGAGTGGCTCAGTGGATTGAGTGCTGGCCTGCGAACCAAAGGGTCATTGGTTTGATTCCCAGTCAGGGCACATGCCTGGGTTGCTGGCCAGATCCCCAGTAGAGGGTACACGAGAGGCAACCACACACTGATGTTTCTCTCCCTCCCTTCCTTTCTCACTAAAGAGGAATAAATAAAATCTTAAAAGAAAAGAAAAGAAAGAAAAGAAACAGAGCAATATCAAAACACTGGTGGGTAGAAAATGTTAGTAATAGTTGAAAACATTCCATGAAGCCAGCAAAAATGAAGCAAAATCTAAACATTCCAGAGTAACTCAGAGGCTGACTGATACCACCTCTGGCGGTTTCCTTTGTGTCACCGGCTTGGCCTCTTTTACCTGCTTTTGTGCACTGTACACCAAACATGAATGGACTTGTGCTTCTGGACTGGGTGGGTGCCAGCGCTCGCGCAACGGGCAAGACTACCATGGTAGAAATGGGCATGCGATGAGCTGAGGAATGGAATGGGGTAAAGAATTTAACAAGCAAAATAAAAACAAAACAAAATGAAATGTTTAAAACAACACAGCACATGATGCAAATTAACATTTGGGTGGTAGAACGTATGTGGAAAAGAAAAATATTCTAGCACAGGATAGCTTCAGATTCTGTCATAGTAAAACAAAACAAAACAAATGATATGGCATTTAGAGTGTGAAAGAGTGTGTTAATTGTGTAGTGGTGCCAATATTCATTCAATATGCTATTACAGTATTACCTGTATCGCTGGAAGCCCACCTCCCACGACATACTATGGACTCAAGAAACCATTTACTCTCCAAGTAGATCTAACATTGAGAAAAGGATTACTTTTACATAACGCTTGTTTTTAGGTCCTTTGTAAAGAAATATTTTGTAATACACGGATTTTGCTAATGTGTTTCTTTCATACCTTTTCCACGTAAATAAGGGCAAAGGTAAAGAAGCACAGAAATGAAAATAGCTAAGTGCTTATCAGCTTTCATGGAAGCAATAATATTCATAATCCAAAATTCAGGGACTTCAATGTCATTCTGATGGTTTTGGAATGTATTATAAGGTAATGGATTAACTTCCACATTACTTTGTATTCTTTGGATACCCAGGAGCCAGTAAATGGTTTTGGAATTAAAATTTCCAATTTATAATTCACAAGCAGATAATTCAGCTGCCAACAAAATAACACAGCAATATCTTTTCATATTAATCAATGCAAATATGAATTCAACATCAGTTTGTAAGCATGTGAACTCATGAAAACATATGGAATCCATTCACTAATGGAATAGCTAGGGATACACAGTTAAAAGCATATAGATGTTTGCTTGTCCAGCTCTTAATTCATTCAAGGTCTCCCGTGCTTACCCATGAACTACATGAGAGATCAGCCACACTGACACTTAGAGGTCTCTGATACACATGACAGACCTCTGTGCTGGAGGTGCAAGGTCAACGCTGCTGAAAAACAACCGGGAAGAGACACTGGCTTCTTCAAAGTCACAAACATCCTTTCGCTGGCCCTTTGGTGATGACTTGATGTGTTAAATACACCACTGGCACCCGACTCTTCATTGACACTTTAAAATACACGTTTGATGCATGGAGAGCGTCCCTACCTTCCTTAACCTACATACTCTGAAAGGTCTCAGTTCAGACTTTTAGTGACCTACCTGAGCCTCTACTGAACTCTGGCAGTTTTAAATCTATTCAGATTGTAGCTCTGGCACATGTTCTGTAGAGGTCACCCTCCCAGCTCAAAGCAGAGTGCCAGAAAAGGCCATCTATCCTCTTCCCCTTTTAAAGGGTTCATATTAGTTCTGAACTGTTGGGCAGGCCTGCAAACCACAAGCAGTAGCAGAGCTAAGTCTCTGCTACTTTTATTTTCACGTAGCTAAGTCTCCCACCGTACCTCTATCTCACCAATTGTGCTGTTTCTGGCTGACCAATGATATCACATCAACAACTGGGCAGTTACTTTTTTACTGGTCACATCTACCCACTGGCCAATTAATTCTGGGGCAGGCTAACTCTTGCACACACTGCGGAAGATGAACAGTCTCAGGCAAGGAGAACAACATTCATTCCTGTCTCTGTACAACTACGACCTGGCTCTAAAGGGTGATGCCACTTTCCAAAGTTCTGTTAGTGAGGCCCTGGGGCTCTCACATTCACGCCACAGGAGTAGGATGACGGGGGTGTTTGCAGAAGGCTCAAGGGGGCTCTCACGAAGACCAACAGTGAGGACATTAAGACACTCACACTAGAAAGAAGAAAACTGGAGAAATCAGGTCTATATTCTCACTTGCCTCGTTGTGGGGAATACGATTTTGTCCCGGTGGATGACAATGGGCGCTTACTCATCGAACTCTCCATCTGCTTTGACAAATGTGTTGCTGATGCCGACAAGCTGTCACGTGCTGCAGAGAAACACATTGAAGACATTGGTATGCACACCACTGTAGAGCGAGAAACACATACCCCAGTGTTCTTCCTGTCCTCATCCCCATGCCTTCTAAGCCACGGTGACTCAGCACACTGCTTCCAGCATCCTCCTAGCTACCAAGCCTATCTAGAAATGCCCAGACCCCAGCAGCCATCAGTGTGAAGCACAATGTTTTCTTCTGCTTCTAAACTTCCTCTCTTCAATTTCATCCAACCTCACTCAACTGTTCAACTAAAGCCATGCAAATCCCATCAGGAAATCACTTATTTCCTTGTGTCCAGGGGCTTTTATTTGGTATATTCAGACCACACGAAGTCACAATGAACCTGGACTCAGAGACAAATCACCACCAGAAAATTTCTACACAAATTTCTTATGGCCTAAGCTGAAACCGGACTTTTTTCTGAAGGTTATCTATAGCTCAGGTTGGAGAGAGGAGTTGTTTGTAAAGCAAGGAGCTCTAGTTACAGCAGAACAACCTATAGCAATCGGTTTCTTCCTCTTAATCAAGAGATGGGGGCCACCGTGGACTTTTTTCAAATGTTATGATTGCTTATGGTTAGGATGTCAACAAGTGGTCCCAGGTTTGGTGTTCTTACTTTCCAGTTGTTCAGAGTGGTCTCTAAAATGAAACCTGTACAGCAAATGGAGAGGTACAGACAGCACCCTGCCAAGCCATACTGGATCTTAAGGCAAAAGGAAAGATGTGTGCCCTGGCTTAAAAAGGAAGCAAGCTCATTAATGAGATTTTCAAAATCTACCCCTCTCCTCGTGTTTTCCAGTGAGAGAACTGCCATGTTCGACTATGTCTGCCTTTTTAAAAAGATTTTATTTATTTATTTTTAGACAGAGGGGAAGGGAAGGGGAGAGACAGAGAGAGAGAGAGAGAGAGAGAGAGAGAAACATCAGTGTGCGGTTGCCTCTCATGCACCCCTCGCTGGGGACCTGGCCTACAACCCAGGCATGTGCCCTAGACTGGGAATCGATCCCACAACCCTTTGGTTCACAGGCCGGCACCCAATCCACCGAGCCACACCAGCCAGGGCTCGACTATGTCTTCTGACCAAGTGATGATCTTAGCAAATTTTTTAATTGAGTTAAGCCAAAGTAAAACTATGATAAATTCTGTTTTTGGTATAAATAAAACACTTAAAATTATTTCAGTTTTACTATATGTACTTTTCAATGTTTTTCAGCATTTCTACAACTGCTTTAATGTTCTGGAAAAAATTAACTATTGGAAATTACCTCAAGCCATGCATATAGATTGGGGTACACAGTTCTCCCTTTGTCTCAGGCTCTGCTATGGCTCAGGATGGCACTGCTCTTTAGAAATTTGATATTCTCTTGATAAAGTAAGATTTTTGGTGCCCTCTTAAATTGCATGTCCAAGTTAAGTATACTTGCCTCACCCTGGCCTGGGCCCTGAGTGATTCCCAATGGGTAATTACCAATTTTCTGTCCACGGAAGGCCAGTGCCCACACTACAGTTCACTTGGCACGTGTAGCAAAGCCTCTGCTTTTCAGTAAGGGCAATAAATATTACTCTTTGTCAAAGGAATGCTGGGAACCAGGGATGTTTCTTCCTACTGCTCTCAAGTGACCTTCTGCGTTGCTGGTAAATAGTGCATCCCTTTCACCTCTGCTTTTTTCTTTGCCGGCCAAAGAGGGATTGAATTTCTAAAGTTTTGCTAATTCCCGGGCCTGTATCCAAAGCAGAGAGCCTATCAGAGAGGCGAAATCAAGAAGACAGCCCACTGATCGCCTCGTTTGCACCCCCAGTGTTAGTACTGATAAACTCCCTACCACTCCCTCTCAAATGCCTCTCCGGGAACCCATGGCATTAACACCCAGAATTCTGTGCGATTTACCCGGAGGTGACTGAAGCACAACATTTCTTAATGCTCAGACCGATGACTAATGAGAGTGTGAAAGGTCTGAATGCACAAAAGTCCAACACTGACAAGATTTTCAAGGCGGAAGATAGCAAGCTGAGGATGAAATGTCTCCAGGCACTGGGACGTAAGGCATGCAGATGTCCGCAGTGACAGGAACAAAGAAATATGAGCATGTCATTCACATCGCCAGAAACCAAATTCTAACGAGTTGGACTAAGCAATCACTGGTAAAAGTGCTTGAGACACACACGGTGACGGAGGAGGGTGAGCAGAACAGTCATCACAAAATGCCATGGCATGGTGATGCTCAGATATACCATTGGTGGACTCGGCGGCGGCGGTGGTCCCTGGGTCAGGAGGGAGGGTGCTGGCTGCTAAACCTAGAGGAGGGGGTGGAGTATTTTCTGATTCACCTACACAGCAAAAGATCAGAGCAAAGAGAGGTAAAAGAAAAAGTCCCAATTTCTGGTTGACTTAGTTTCTACATAGGAAATTAGAAAAAGTAACTGAAATGTGTTGACTTCTCCAAAACACATACACACACACACACACACACACAAAACAAAGTATGTTCCCTGATAAAAGGTTAAATGCACAATACAGCAAAGTCAAGAAACTGTAATATAAATGTAAACCCATCTGCTTTCAGAAAGAGCCAGTATACAACTCCTGCATAATAGAATGATAGGAAGTAAGACACCGAAGGGGAGAGAGCCACCCAGACTAGTAACAATCTATAGTTTAAAGATTTGAAAATGTAAAAATGAGTGTGAACTGGATAATGAAATGAATAAGTCATCTTGAAACAAAACTGAAAGAGCAACAAAAATTAATAATGAGGGAAAATCCGTAGCCCCCCTTTTTAGAGGGTAACTGCTGCTCAGCCTTTGCAAGGTCACGCTCGCTGCAGTGGCAGCTTAGCCTACTGCCAATTGACCTTCCCTGAAATCCGATTGTCCCAGGGCTTGCCAGGTAGATCTGCTTAACCAGACTGTGCGTTCGGTTTTCTCTGTTTTTCTTTTGCGTTACCTCACAGCCCGGGTATTGCGCCCACTGCTGTTTGCTACCAAAAGGAACGCACAGATCCCCTTCATGAGAAACGCAAACACAGGAAGCTTGGCAGTTTGAAACATCGCACCTGAAAAAGGTATCTGCCAATTGGTACAAAGCATCCCCCAGACCCTGCAGGCTGAGCTCAGGATCTCCCGACTGCCCTGGGGTGCTGCAATGCAGGCACAGCCCCAAACTCACCATCACGTCCTCCAGGCGCCAAGGCCTGTGATGGAACTCCAGACCAGTACCGCTTGCTCGTGTCCAGCTGTTGAGTGCGCTCCAGGGACCTGCGTAGAATTGCCTCCATCCGCTCCTGCCAGGTGGTGCAAGGGAGAACAACATTAACACACCAGCCTCAGTTCCAGGGGTGAGGCACCAAGCGGGGCTCTGGGCTCAGCATCCAAAGCCCAGGCACACGTGCTCTCAGCTATACGAGAACCTTCTCAGTGGATGGAGAGTCAGCTATGTGGCTGTTACGATCCCAGCCCCAACAGCTCATCTCTGGGAGGGGCTGCCTCAGCCAGGTCTTGATTTAATAATAATGCTAGATAAGCATTAACTCCTTGAGGTCTGTTTCAAGTGCCAGTTTGCCCCACCTAGTAGAAGAATGGAACTGGGCTCTAGAACCAACTGAATGCTCTTTAGCTGAAATGCATAAAACATTCTGATTGGAGAACATTTAAATTCAAACATAATTTGAATTTTACAACCTTAAGCCTAACTTTTTGGGGTGGTACGTGACTGTGAGATTTATTTTGCAAAGCCCTGTTCTAATTTTATAATCTTTTTAAAGGGGGAATCCATTGTTTTCTACACTGTAACGTTTTTCTGCTATACAGTGTTGGGGGGATAATGCTACATATTTCAAAATTTAAAAGAGACAGGAGTAGGGAACCTTCTGGCCACACACTGAAGTATCTATGCATTCTCAGAGTTAGGTGGGACAAGGGGAAGAAGTAAACAGTTTTCAGCCAGAAAAGAAAAACAAGGAGACTTCTCTATTAAATGGAATATTTATCAATGACACTCTCCTGTATTAACGCAACTGTCACTCTCATAAAGTTGGGCCTGACTGCAGGCAAGTATCTCCTTGGCAGTTGTAGAATTCAGCCCCAATGACACTGCAAATACCAACCACTCTCCCTGCCTCCTCATGGAGGAGACTGAAGCAAGGTAAACAGTTAGACCCTTTCAACCTCATAAAACCCACCTTGAGGTGCTCCAGGAACTGCACTCATCCTAGCCTAACTCCAAAATAAAGCTACTCTTTACTCCTGGCTTAAAAAAGCAAGCCAAATTAATTCAGGGCAGCACCAACTAGTAACCGTGACTCAAGGTTTGGGGAAAAACTCTGTTATTTCACTCCCTAGAAACACAGAAAAGGCACTCAGGACGTGCCTGGACCTATCCTTTGTCTACACTAGAGGGATGAGTTGAGCATGCTCCACATCTTGGCCTCTTCTGCATAATTTCTTTCTGAATGATCATTTGCTAAGAGACAGCCTCTCTGGGGACCTGAGAGCAAAAACAGGATTTTTTTTTTCCTCCTATGAATGTCAGATTTGAATTTGCTCTACTTTTTGGCTGAGATTCTACAATCGTGAGTGTCCATTTCCTGAGTCCCGTCCTCAGATCTCTGGCCCGTTAAATTCTGACAGCCAACTCTGGGGGTCTGTCAGAGAAAAGCTGGGGCATTGGGGTGGGGGGGATTTGAATATTTTGACTATTTGTCACTTGAGGTATGGTTGATCCAGACTGGGCTGAATAGTATTTCATTATATGAATTTAGCATAACAAATTTTAACCAATGATTTAATTTAAGTGTTGAAACCCTGTACCTGAGAGTAAATTTATTATTAAGTCAGTTATAAGAGACTTTGTATGTTCCAGAAGGACCTCACAAGGTAGTCTCTCATCGACTAGGAGTTCAATGAGAAGAAAAAACACTAAGAATCTTCAGGCCAACCTTATCTAGGGGCATAATTAGAAGGGAATGATCCACCCAAAGCCAGACCTACTCTTGGACTGGACAGTTACCTTTAGAAAAAATACCTCTCCATCTACTGCCAATCCACTGAGCGGCTCCAAATTCCACCATTAGAGATTCATTTCTTTGAATAGTTAGTAGACTTATAAAAATAAATCCATCCTTGAGAGAAGACACAATGACTTTGTGTCATCTACTTTTGGTGAGACGATGAAGGTAGGTAGTAACCAAGCTCTACAGTAAGGGGATTTATAGAATCAAAAGTTGTCAGAATGGGGTGATTCAACATCAAGCCAAACCTGGTTCCTTTCACTTTTCTCAGAGGTTAGTTTACATAGGCACCTTTCTGTTCCTTCATGGGACAAAATGGAAAGAATCCTAGATTTGGAGTCAGAAGATATGGACTGAAATGCCACCTGTGCCTGCTAGATTTTAGCTCTGTCATCTTGAGTCCATTGTTTAACTTCCTGGGGCATCAGTTTCCTTATCTATAAAATGGGATATTACCTAGATCAGCAGACCACTCCAGTCTACAGGGTCCTAACTATCAATAGCATACTAAATCCTGAGCCCATGCTAACTGAACTGGACCCTGAAGACGATCACCAGTAGGGCAGTTTCAGCAGTGGCTCTCAAACTGGGGGACTTGTTGGAACACCACTGCTGGGCCCCAGCCCCAGAGTTTCTGATTCTGCAGGTTTGGGGTGCGATCTGCTGGGAACTTGCATTTATGACAAAGTCTCAGGCACTGTCGGTGCTGCTGGTCCTGGGGCTACACTTCCACAAGCACTGGTTAGAGGAAAGGCTGAGAGTGAGGGAGCATTGATATTATTGTCACTGATATTGATATTGATATTATATCAATGACATTAATATTAATAAATATTTGAGCTGTATACTGTATCCCTCAGTTCCTGCCAAGCTCTGCTTCTCATGCCAATTGATAGAGGATGGGGAAAGGGCAAGGCAGATTCTTTTTTTTTTAATATTTTATTTTATTTATTTTTTAGAGAGGGAAGGGAGGGAGAGAGAGAGAGAGAGAGAGAGAGAAACATCAATGTGCAGTTTCTGGGGGTTATGGCCTGCAACCCAGGCATGTACCCTGGCTGGGAATCGAACCTGGGACACTTTGGTTCCCAGCCGTTCTCAATTCACTGAGCTACGCCAGCCAGGGCTAGGGCAAGGCAGATTCTTGTCCCTAGAATGTCCCCTATTGGATCAATCTTAGTAGAAGGAAGAAATAAGGAGATCCCACCCTTGACCCCTTGCGCTCTAGATCTGCCTGGATGAACTCAGAGGAGAGTCATGGCCAGGGTGACCTGGTGAGCTGGCCTAGCAGTATACAAGGAGTCCAGCAAGGCCCGGTCTGGGCACTGCTACCCACACAGCCAGCTCTGGTAGGAAAGGAGGGCTGGCTATGTCTTTTCCAATGCCCTTACTACATGTGTTCTGATGGCAGTATGGGACAAGCCCCTAAACGGTCCTCAGCAGAGTTCTATAGGGGGTATTGCTCTCTACAAACAGATGTCCACCTCTGACCAGAAAGGCCATGCAGTCACTATGACCCCACACCAGCCATTGCCTGTGACAGGCCAGCCCTCAGCTTAGTGAAGTTTTTGTTCAGGTTGAGGTCAGAGATTTATCATTTTACACTCAGCTTGCTGGGTCTTGTTGGATATCAATCAATGACAGTCTGAGAAGTTGTGATGTGTCCAAATAACTTACAGAGATGCAGCTACTCTTTGAAAAAGGCCTTTCCTGGTTGTCTGTGTAGCATGAGGAACAGAGTTGGCTTTGCCGTATCCCATTTCCTGGGACCTCTAGGCAGGAAGCCATCCTCCCCAAGTGGACAGTGGGTGACCGCAGTGCGCTGTCAGCCCTAACCCAGGTAGGGTTACAAGGGCTTCTCTCAGAAGCTTGATTCTTGGAGTATGAAAGGGTTGGAGAAACCTGCCTCGAGGAAAAGGCAGCCTCCGGTGGACACTGGGCTGCCCCTTCCTCAGCACAGGCCTGACCAGCCTCCAGCCTTCCCAGCCCTCAAGACCCCCAGGGGCCAGGCTGTCTGTGGTGCCCACTTCTCTGCTGGCAGACAGGAGGCCTCCTGGCCGAGCCTGGCGCTTACCCACACAGATGTGAAAAGTTCCTGAGAGCAATGTCATGGCAACCCTAAGGGCATGGCACCAGGACAGGGCTGGGGGCAGGTGGGTAGGCAGTGGGCCTTTTATGAGCTCCCAGTATGAGACCATCAGAGGCAGGACTTGGTAGGCAACCCAAACACTTTCCAATAAGCTAGAGAAGCAAAAGGAGCTGCAGTGGACTGGACCCCTGCAGAGGTTGCTCTGGGTGGCAGAGACAGAGTGTGACAAAAAGAACTGGAGTGTGCCACAGCCGTGTGCCAGGCAGGCAGCAGCCCTCCCACTGATCTCCAGTGAACCATGGGGCCGCTTGCCGTGTACAATTATCCGTTCTCTCCAAAGAGAGAACGCCACAAGGACGCCAAACAGGCCTCTGCACAGGTAGAGCCGAAGCCAATGTGGTTAGCAGGCCAGCCTGCATGTGCAAGTCCCTCGGCTCCTCTGGGCCCTGAGGGTGGGAGCAGGTGGCAGCAGGAGGCTACTGCCTCCCAGTGTTGCTACATTTCTACACAATGGTGGGAGGCCCAGCTCTCAGCCCTTCCCTGCATGTCTGGGGAGAACAGGGAAGTGAGCTCGGCTAGAGTTTTTGCTGACGAGGGCCAGGTAGCATTCCTTGTTCCCCACCATTACCACGTTAGAGATAAAAGGGAGCACACAAAGCAAATAAAAAAATTCGCTGGATATACAACCAACTAAAGATTCAGCTACATCAGGCCCAACCACCTGGCATGGCGTTCCCTCATCTGCAACAGCAGGAGTCTGAGATCTTGATTTAAAATGCCTCCGGCACTACTGTTCAATGAGAAATGGAACACACAGGAAGTGCCTCAAGGGAGGCCCATGTGACACTGTAGGTGTGTCACAGGCTCAGGAAGTGTCTCTGGTGACTGCGTACTGACCCCTCGTGGAAGCAGGAGTAGCAGACTTGCTCTGGAATCAGCAAGCCTGCAGGATGTGAAGATCAGAATGGAGAGAGCAGGGAGGAAGAGAACCAGGTGTGTGAGTCAGGGATGGAGGACGGGAAGAAAACGGGTGAGTCCAGGGACTCACCACACATACACACAGGCTGGGAAAGGAGAGATCTGCCCCAGGTTACTGAAGCGGCCTAGCACACTGTGGCTTTGTTTTGAGGTCTATAGACTGCGCCATAATCTTTTCTGGGTAGCTCCCTCTTGACCTTGCTTCAGCCATGGTCGCCTGAAGTCATTGAAGGGAATCAAACATTTCTGAGCATTACTCTGTGCTAGGTGCTTTGCTGGGCACTTTCACAAAGTCACCTCCCTTTTTAAAAATTTTTTATTTATTTATTTTTAGGGAGAGGAAGGGAGGGAAAAAGAGGGAGAGAAACATTAATGTGTGATTGCTTTTCATGTGCCCGGTCCTGGGGGCCTGGACCGCAACCCAGGCATGTGCCCTAGACTGGGATTCAAACCTGCGACCCTTTGGTTCACAGACTGGCACTGAGTCCACTGAGCCAACACCAGCCAGGGCACAAAGTCACCTCCTTTAGTTCCTGTGATCACCTGTGTTTTGGGGTGAGGAGGCCCAGTTAGAGGGTCATGAGGGGCTCAGCAACTTGGCCCTGGCTACCAGCTGGCCAGTGGTAGAGCCAGGGTTTGTGTCAGGAGCAGCTGAAGCCACACAGCAGCCAGGCTGCAGCCAGCAACAGCGAACCATGGCTAAGACCCTTGCTTAGACCTTTGCTGGTTAAGAGGAACAAAGAAGTTACCATGTAAATGAGAGCTTTGTGGGCAAAGACGAATGTAATTGTGTGTGTGGGCACATGTTCATGGTTTTTAAATTTTATAAAAGGAAAGGGGGAAAGATGTATCATGATAAAGTATTCACAGACTTGAAACAGGCTGAATTTATAGAAACATTTCCATACCCCATAGTGCTGGCAATTAACAAACCTCTATGTTGTCCATGCTAAATGATGAGTCATATACCTTATGAATACAAAATGATCGTCACCTGACACAAGGCTATGACTACATACTTAAAATATACGTGTTAAGAAAAGCTATACCCTAAATATGCTTTCTACATATATTTTCAAAGTTTAGTAGTAAAAGGCTCTATACGGGTAATTATACGACTATTCCATTTCTTTGTTAAAAGGTAATTGGGAGAAAAAGGATGATTAAAGCAAGGAAATCATTAAAGTTTAAATACACTAGCATATTTGGATTTGAAGGTAGACCATTTGGTTTTTCCAACAGTGCGTAACTGTTGGAAAGTTCTCTTCTACCATCACAGCTGTTCCTCAAGCCTCATGTCTGCACTGCAGGCTCGGACCCTCAGCATAACCTCCAGGTCTGCATCACCTGGCCCCTATCCGCAATCCCCTCGGAGTCCTAGAGTCAGAGGTGGTTAGGCCTGGAAGAAGCCTTGGAGACTGCCACCCACTCACTTCAGAGACAAGTCATTCAAGGCCCAGAGAGGCCAAGTGGCTTGTCTGAGGTCACACAGCAGATGAAAAGCTGAGTGGAATAGATAAGTCTTTGTTCCTAGTCTAGTGCTGCTTCCACTGTACAGTGGCATGCTGCTGAAAGATGGCACGGTGGGCCACCCAGGAGAGAGCTTCGGAGTGAACCACTTTTGTACCACGGCGCAGGGCAGGACGCACAGGTGCCCTGAGCATCACACCCTGTGTGAGCCGCTCAGATGGCCTAGGGGTCCCGAGACCTTACCTTCCGCTCCTGGAGCTTCTGCTCCCTTTTCTCTTCCACAGCAGCCCTCTTCTCGTTCTCCCGGCACCGCCGCTCCTCCAGTTTCCGCCATCGCTCCATCACTTGCTTTTCATACTGGAGTGCTGCTCTCCTCTGCTTCTCCAGGAACTGCTGCTCCCGTGCAGCTGGGGGAAGAAAGACAGAAGAGAGGTGGCATTACCAGAGCACTTTACACTGTTTGGATCAAGAACACCAACAGAGAAGCAAGAGCGAGACCAAAAATGAGCCCAGCGGGAGCTCTGGCTGCAGTAATTGAGAGGAGGGGTTCTGGCCCCTCTCTTGGCTGGCGACCCTGGGCATGCTAACTACGCGATCTCTTTGGTTTCCTCCTCTGTGACGTGGGGATGGTCATATTTGCAACACCATGGTGCTGTAAAGATCGAATGAGACAATCCATGGGAAGTGTACAGCAAGTGCCCCTACACATGGCAGCTATGACTATCATTGTTATCACTGGCTGACAAATGAGAGTTGTAAGGGTACGTTCATTCAAAACACATTAAGTATGCCTGCACCTCACCCCAGTCACTGAGCTAGGCAAGGGGGTAAACACATGAATAAGATTGGCCTTCCCCACAAAACAATTAATAAAGGGGCCTTAACTCCACCTGGCCTAGTAAGAATAGGGTTCCCTGGAGGGTGCAATGCCTGAGCTGACCAGCAGGAGGCAGTGAAGGGGAACTAGAAAGTTCTTCATTTGTCCCAACTCAGGGGGGAGATGACTTGTGTATGTAGCTCAGAGCACTCTGTGGGGACATGCCCTACTTATCCATATAAAGCACAGGTAGCAAACATAAGGCCCGTGGGCCAAATCTAGCCCTCCGCCTTGTTTCATCCAGCCCAGCACCTTGTTTCTTCTACCTGGCAACAGCACTGAGCTCTCCCTTAACAGTTAAGGAGTAGTTACATTTACACAGTCCTAAAATTATATTTGGCCCTTTGAAGGCAACCGTGAGGCTGATGTGGCCCAGGTGAAAAGTAGTTTGACACCCCTGACTGCAAGAGGTAAGACAGCCTTTCTCAACAGGGTTCCCTATCTCAACACAGATAATGTCTCAGCTGGCCCTCTTAGATGCCCTGGAGAGATAGAGAAGCCTGAGTGAGTTCACACAGTGGACACCTGAGGGGCGGGGGTAGCAACTGCTTTTCCAGTTCTCGTTCTGCGTGCTATCCACAGCCCCTAGCATGGTGCCTGGAGCACGGCGCATGTCCCATGTTCTCCAGGAGAGTCAAGGAACTGTTTGGAGAATTGCAGAATTGTGGACATGACAGCTGCAGTGTGGATTCACCAACCCCCTCCCGCCCCCCGTTCTCCACATTCATCTAACTATCGTCCTAGCTCTCTTGCAATTCGGTCACAGATTTCTAAGGCTCTTTAGGAAAGACACCACCACATCTCCACTTCCTTACACCTAAACCGCCAAGTACACAACGTACCCATACTTTTTTGTTTTTCTTCACGTCGTTCTTTGGCCTGCCTTTGTCTCTCATCGGATTTTAAGTTCCCGTCCATGGCTGCAAGAGAGAAAACATGATGAAACATTTCTTCATTCTTTCCCTACCTGCTGAGTGCCAGGGGCTACTCTGAGCCTGTGCCCGGGTCTGGCCACACGCGCACATCACCCATCAACATCAGAGGCCTGATCCATCACTCCCGCACGGGTGGCTGGCCCCGCACACAGCTGCCACACCCGTCCACCAACAGCAGCCCCGGGAACCAAGCCCTTTCCCTAGTCTTCTGTCCCGGGCCTGACCCTACAGGGGCCAGAAAGTGTAATAGTGACGGGGAGCCCTGGCAGTGTGTAGAAAAGCCCACTAGGCCTCCCCAACCCTGGCTCCCGGGGGAGGGGAGAAGGAGGAGAGTGGACATGATGATCACACAGAGGAACATTCTAGTGTCTGTAGGTGGCCAACGGCTGTGGGAAACACGCAAGCTCCTCAGGTGAGCAATGAGAACCACAACACTCAACACTGACTTGGGTTTGCTCTGCTAAGTTTGCTCTGATGTCAGTCTTAGTATTTTAGAATCACAAGGAAGCAGCATACTTCTGTTCTCCTGTTTGTCACTGAAATATCTACAAGAAATAAAACGGAACAAATGCAGTCCCCTCCCCAAATGCCCGGGAAGCATCCCAGGGCTCCTCACTGTCAGCCATTTTGTCAATCTTCTACAGAGTTCTAAAGGGCTTTCTCAGTCAACAATGAAACGACTTTCACCATCCTTGCAGGATCAGAAATAACTTAGAGCACTGGGTCACCATCTGTCATTCATAACGATTATTTATATGATGTACCAGCACAACATCCGGGATCAATGGGTTTCAGTGTTAGCACAAACATCGTCTTCTGAGCTCCCGAGCCCTTCTCTATGGTAACGTCGCACACACTGACTTCATAGTGCCCGTTGCCATGGCAACCTGTGCCCCACCCCTCCCATGAAGGTTCCTACACTGTCCAGGAGGGACCTACAGGTTTAGACTGCACGGTCGGCATGGCAACAAGGACAGGGATGGATGGGAAAAACACTGGATTCCCCACCATTATCTGCTTTTGCAGCCTGGATCAGAGATAGGGGAAACTGATGCTCAAGAGACAAACACTGCAAAAGTCAACCCTCGACAAGTACCACTGCCCATGGTTGGTTTCAGTCAACTGTTCATCATTACAGTGCTCCCAACAACATGGATGCCATCACGCCTTTCGAGTCCCTCCCCCCAATAAAAGAATTTCAAGGCCTGACTTCTCAGCTTATCACTGGTGGCCTCCCACAATCAAACCCCAAACTTTCTTCCCAGCTTGACGTCAGCACTGCTCTCCTCCCACACACCTTCCACCTGAAACCACCCCTTCTCCCACCACCCCTGCCTATTTAAACCCCACCCGCCTTCAAGACCCCACAGGTTTCCCAGGCCCCAGGTTGCTGTGAACTCCCCCACGATGGAGGAAGCCTAATATCATTCTGCTTGGTCGTTGTGCTCTCCTCTAACTTGGTCTCCCTGGACAGAGAGCGGCTACTGAGCTACGGTGGCCTAGGCAGCTCTGGGTCACCCAGCTCAGGCCACTGCCCCCTGCTCCACAGCGGTCCCGAGGTACATACAGTGTTCAAAGGTAGGCACATAGTCGGCAGAAGGGGAGTGGGGAGATAAACGCAGGTTTCTCTTTTTCTCTAAATACCTCTAGGCCCTCATCTCTACCACATGAGTTTGATTAGTAAGACTAGGTTCTGTGTGAAGAGCCACAAAGAGAAGTCCAGGAACCCTGGACAGATGCTTACGTCCTTCCAAGGAGGACATTCACCTCTCTGTACTGCCCATGTCACCCTCCCGGTGTTCGAAGGCCTGCCCCATATCTAAGGTAGGGCCCAAGAGCCACTGAGAGGGCGCTTTAAACAGAAGGAAGCAGAACTGAGGGAAAGGGGCCAAGCACAATGGAACTGGCCACATTACCTTGAGGTTTTACAAACAGAGTGCAGGCTATTCCACGGACATACATGACTGCAGGCTGCCTCCTTGAGGGCACTTGTGACAGAGACAACTTCAAATCATTTCCTTCCCATCAAGTCTTCACGGGCATTCTGAGTCATCAACATCTGTTTCATCATAATAGGAGGTGACAACAGAGCAGTTACTAGGAAACCAGTGCACTGCCCGGATCACTGTCATGACCCTCGCCTTATAGGTGCAGAACGGGAGGCACAGAGAGGTCAGTTAAGTTGTGTGAGGTCACACTGTCAGATGTGGAGAAGCCCGATTCCAATGTAACAACCTGGCTCCAGGACCCACACTCTCTTTTTTCTTAATGTCGTATTTTAAAGAGTTTGTTTTTGATTATATTGTCTCCATTACCACTTAGTGCCCTTATCCCCACCCCCCACAATCACCACACTGTTGTCCATGAATCCTTTTTCTTTCTGCTCAATTGCTCCACCCCCTCACCTGCCCCTCCCTAGCTGCCAGCCTGCTCTCCATCTATGAGTCTGTCTCTATTTTGCTTGTTAGTTCGGTTTGTTCATTAGATTCCACTTACAGGTGAGATCGTATGGTATTTGTCTGCCTCTGCCTGGCTTCTTTCACTGAGCATAATGTTCTCCAGGTCCATCCATGTTGTCGCAAAGGGTAAAATTGTCTTCTATGACCGAGTAGTATTCCATCGTGTAAATGTCCAAGAGCTTTTTTCTCCACTCATCTACTGATGAGCACTTGGGCTGCTTCCAGATTTTGGCGATTGTAAATAATGCTGCAGTGAAGGTAGGGGTACTTATGTTTTTTTCAATTAGTATTTCGGGTTTCTTGGCATAAATTCCCAGAAGTGGAATCGCTGGGTCAAAAGGGAGTCCCATTTTTAATTTTTTGAGGACACTCCATACTCTTTTTCTAGTGGCCTCACCAACAGAACCCACACTCTTAATCACTGCTTTCCTATGTGGCTCTCCAACAAAGCAGGAAGTGTAACAGCTTGGTCTTAGTGCCCATGAATGAAAGCTGTGACCCAGTATCCAGGACAGGCAACAAACCCCATCCCTGTCCCAGCAATGAGCCTGCAAATGTGGGGAGAAGTGCAAGTCTCACTCACCACAGCAGTATCAATAAGCACTACAGTGAGCCAAGCACGGGCCAGCTGGACACACATGTGGCTGCTGCCCAGGCAAACTCTTTGTTTGGAAATACTTGCTCAAGGATGTTTTAGAGAGGCTGATGATGCTGGATGGGGAGAGCAGTAGCCACAGAACCCTGGGAACAGCTGTGGCAAGCCATTCTGTCTTGTCCCACTGAGGAGGGTTGAGGGACACCAATAGCCCGACATGGGTAAACCTGGAGTCTCCGTGCTGTCATATGCCGGCCATCGGCCATGGGAAGCTATTTAAATTTTAAGATAATCAGGATTAAATGCAGTGGAAAGCTCAGTTCCTCAGTCACACTGGGCACATTTCAGGCACCCACTAGCCACATGAGGCTGCTGGCTCCCGGACTGGACAGCTCTGAGTGAGTGGCTTGGTGGCTCAGTCCTGTATTCTCTCCCTTCGTGTTTAGCTACTCTGGGACACGTGTATAAGGACACTCTCAGAGTTTGATCAGGGTTGAGTTTTGCTGAGTAACGCTGGGGTAGGACCTCATCCTTCCACACAGCATCTGCCTCTCTTGATTCAAAGAATTGTCAAACACTCTAACGACAAGGAAAATAAACACAAAAATAAACAAGTGGTACACTGTTGGTGGGAATGCAGACTGGTGTAGCCACTGTGGAAAACAGTATGGAATTTCCTCAAAAAACTAAAAACAGAACTACTTTTTGACCCGGCAATTCCACTGTTGAAATTATAGCCTAAGAACCCTGAAACACCAATTCAAAAGAACCTATGCACCCCAATGTTCACAGCAGCACTATTTACAACAGCCAAATGCTGGAAGCAACCTAAGTGCCCATCAGTAAATGAATGGATCAAAAAACTATTGTACATTTACACAATGGAATACTATACAACAGAAAGAAAGAAGGAACTCCTACCCTTCACAACAGCATGGGTGGAACTGGAGAGCATTATGCTAAATGAAATAATCCAGGCGGTGAAAGACAAATACCATATGATCTCACCTGTAAGTAGAACCTAATCAACAAAACAAACAAGCAAACAAAATACAACAACCAAAGACACTGAAATTAAGAACAAACTGACAGTAAGCAGAGGGGAAGTGGAAGGGGATAATGGGGGGGGAGGGTTTTCAGGAACAACTGTAAAGGACACATGGACAAAACCAAAGAGGGGTACAGTCGGGAGTGGGAGATGGGGGGGTGGGGTAGTGGTGGGGGGAAAATGGAGACAACTGTACTTGAACAACAGTAACAAAATTTTTTTTAAATAAACAAGTGGGACTACATCAAACTAAAAGCTTCTGCCCAGCAAAGGAAACCATCAACAAAATAAAAAGGCAACCAACCAAATGGGAGAAGATATTTGCAAATGATATTTTTGATAAGGGGTTATAAGAACTTAGACAACTGCACAGCAAAAAAACCAAACCTGATTAGAAAATGGGCACAGGATCTGAATAGACATTTTTCCAAGGAAGATGTACCGATGGCCAACAAGTATACAAAAAGATGCTCCAATTCACTCATCACCAGGGAAATGCAAATCACAGAACCACAGTGAGATGTCACCTCACACCTGTCCGAATACCTGTTATGAAAAAGACAGGAAGTGTTGGAGACGATGCGGAGAAAATGGAACCCTTGTGCACTATTGGTGGGATTGTGAATTGGTGCAGCCACTATAAAAAAACTAGGAGGGCTTCTGAAAAAATTAAGAACAGATCTACTGTGTGATGCAGCAATCCCACTCCTGGGTATTTATCCAAAGAATATGGAGACATTAACTCAAAAAGATATATGCACCCCTGTGTTCACTGAAGCATTATTAACAATAGCCAAGACTTAGAAACAGCCTGTGTTCTTCCACAGATGGATAAAGATGTATTTATATGCAATGGAGTACTATTCAGCCATAAAAAATAACA